AACACTGACCTTCTTGCCTGTGGGCACACTGCCAGTGAAGGACACCTTAGCAACGTCAGGATGGTGACAGAGTAAACTGCCGGTCTCCTGGCCGCCCTGCACCACGTTGACCAGCCCCTCTGGAGCTCCAGCCTCGGTGTAGATCTCTGCCAGAATGACCGCTGTCACAGGCGTCACCGGCGATGGCTTGAACACCATGGCGTTGCCTGTTGTAGATGACAGACGAAAGAATAAATTGTTCTGACTCATTTAATCACAGAGAAAGCACTCAGAGATTGTACCTCTGTCAAGTCTGCATAATCCTCAAAATTAGATATGCTTTTCTATTAAATACACAATCTGATAGACACAGACAGCAGCTGCCATTCTGGAATAGCTACATTTATGAGCCATCATATACAGTGCTGTATAAATGATCACATTGTGGTGTTATCAAAACCTCTTAGAAATTGGAAAATGTCACTTTCTCCTTTAATTTTTTTAGATATTCTGCTTTAAAAAAAATAAATAAACATAGCTAACCAAAAAAATAACCTTCCTGACAGAGGAAATCATTAAAAAGGTAATAATTTATGTCTTGATAAGTTTAGAAGTATCCCATACCACAGGCCAGGGCTGGAGCTGATTTCCACGCAGCTATTTGGAAAGGATAATTCCAGGCACCGATGCCGACACAGACTCCCAGAGGCTCCCTGCGGGTGTAGGCGAAGGATCCCCCCGGCAACTGGACATGCTGGCCTTGATGGAGGAAAGGCAGAAGTATTTCATTTAAATAAAAGGCTTTAAAAGGTGACATTTTTAAGATTTTGGATTAAAAACTGGTGACAGAGTAAATCTAAGTGATGTATTGCATGAAGCCTTTGCTTCTCCCAACACGTATGATAGCAATACTTGTCAGTGTTTGAGATGAATGATGCTAATGGGCAAATGCTCCATCATCTGGGCAAGATTCCCGCTAAACCTTGTAACTAATAAAAACTATGGATTATATAGTTAGATCTGAGTCAATCAATAATGCCAAGAAAGTGCCACAATGTAAGATCATTTCACCATTTTGTGACCCTTACAATTAGCAGTTGGTGTTATTCTGCATGGTCTCCCTTTAATTCATTTCCCAACATGATCATAAAAGCAAAATATGGATCCTACGTCTGTGTTTGCAGGGTGTCTACAGGAATCAGACATTTAAATTTAATTCTTTTAAAAACTGTTTGAAATTCATTTTTAACCATATTCAAGACTGACTTTTGGACAAATTACCTTTTTCTTATTCAGAGCTCGACTCATTTTGACAAAAAATAATTAAAAGATGGATATATTGAATTAAATAAAATGTTTGTGGTAGTAAAGACCTCACAAATTCAAATTTAAGACGATATAATGACTTTGAAGGCCTCATGTTTATAAGATCTTAGACATTTTAAGGCTTTTTAAGGATCGGCAGAAACCCTAATCTCTTCTCATGTGACCTGTTTCCACGCAATCATGCACGGTGAAGGATATGATGACCTTGTGAGCATGGCTGTGGTTCTGGAGCTCGAACTTTCTCAGTAAGGTATGCTGTGTTCAGGTCGAGTTGTTTTAAATGCACCAGTGAGCCCAGTTATTTATTTAGCTTACTTTAACATGGCCTCAACTGTTTTCATGCAGAATATGAAGAGGGATCCAGTCGTGCTGTCTTGTAATTTAATTTTGTAATAATAGGCTTTTATACAGTACATCAAACCCACTCATAACTAATCAGCCTGCTTCAAAAGAAAATGATGTGGGTAGATTTGAAGGCGTGTCGAAAAGTCATTTAAATGTGTTTTGTAAAATGGTTCTCATGGTTGTTACCCACAAAAATATGATCATTTCAAGTCTCTGGCATCATATTTTAACATTTCCGATCTGGCAGCGCTGTGCCTGTATCAGTTATTTTATTTCCCTGTTGCCTCCAGACCCTTTGGGAGGTGGGAAAACATTAACTAATGAGTGAGAGTTGTGTTGTACCAACCTGCCAGAGTGCTTGCCAGCCCTGCATAGTACTCTATACACAGTCTGGCAGAGTCCACATCCAGACGGGCTTCTGTGATGGACTTGCCATTGTTGACCACCTCCATTTCAGCTATCTCCTCTCTCCTGCTCTGTGCACGAAAGCCAGGGTGAATGCAATACATTTTTTTAGTGTTATGCAACATCTCAGATCCATCACTGGATGTACAAAACAGGACACTATTTTTACAAAACAGGACACTATTTTCATGAAGTACAATGGATGTAAGGGGAGGCTATTATCCCCCGTTTAGTGTCATTATTAAATGTGTGCTAATAACAAAGGAAGAGATTTAGATAATGAGATGAGTCATGGAAATGTTTTAGTGTCAAAGGAACAGAGTTCACCTCAAAATCAAAAACATATATTTTTCCTCTAAACTGTAGTGCTATTTATCAGTTTAGATGGTTGTGGTGTGAGTTGCCGAGTGTTGGAGATATTGGCCATAGAGATGTCTGCCTTCTCTTGCAACTTATTCAAGAAAAATGTCTCTGTTATTTTTTTATATTAAATGTATACAGTGTATAGTGATTCCCACCCTAGAGGTCGTTTTTATGCATGATATAAGAGGACCTCCATCAAATTACAGGCACACCAAATGCTTTAAGAAAACCAGGAGAAGCATACAAATGAACAAAACAAAAAAAACCTCAATGATAAGGGCAGCTTCTATCATGATCCTCGCCCTCTCCATGCCAGACATTTTGCTCCAATAGCTAAAGGCCGACTTGGCAGCCGTCACAGCCTCTTCGATCTCCACAGCACCACACGGCTCCAAATGACACAAGACTCGCCCTGCAAAGTGAAACATGTGATGGTGACAGGTTGAATACAGAAGGAAAGGTTGCATCACTTTACCTGTTCACTTAGTTTGTATTGGTTCAAAGTGAGTCATCCTTCAGTAAAGAGGGAAATTAAGTCTATGCCTGGAGGCTGCGGGCTGTAGCACACTGATTGCAGCGTGGCATTTACACTCCCATCTTGTCCAGTGACAGGATTAGTGATTAGATGAGAGCATCATTCTGCCAGAAGAGTGGGCTGCACACAGGCTGTGTGCTGGCTCAAATGGAGATCTGAATTAAAACTAGGCACCAAGCCACAAAGTGCCTTAAAATCATCATTATCATCATTTGACTCCAATAAAGACGTTAGTGTGCTTGTACAATGAAAGGCTGCAAATCAATCCATCTGCTCCAGTCCCTCCCTGTACTATATGTCCTGTCCTGAGAGGCACCTAATTCAGCTGCACACTGCTGGAAGTTGTGCTGACAGCCTTGTTTCAACTGGCCTTAAAATCAATAAAACTGAAAAACACTGTGTACCAAAGAAGCTATAATAGCTAGTATGTGGCTGTGTGTCTCGGTTCTGTTTCACTGCAGCTGCACAGGGGCCTTGAAACTGGTTGCGCCAGGAAAGGAGCCATGTGTGACTGAACAAATAAGCATGTAGAGGTGTGTGTTGCTGAAAAGCAGCACGTATGCACAGCTAACTTTCCTTGGGAGAATAAAAGTCAAATGTGAAAAATGTATTCTGTAGAAAGACAACTACAAAGCATTCAGGAAGTCAAGATAATATTTTGACTCCAAGAAAAACACAGTAGCATTGACATGTTAGTGTGCTTGCACAATTAAAGGCTGCAAATCAATCCATCTGCCCCAGTCAGATTGAGGACAGTCTTTGCTGTCCTGAGAAGCATCTGATTCAGCTGCACACTGCAGGAAGATCATTGACAGCCCTGTTTCAACCAGCCTTAAAATCAACAAGACTGAAAAAAACTGTGTACCAATGAAGTATGTGGTTGTGTGTCTCGGTTCTGTTTCCCTGCAGCTGCACAGGGGCCTTGAAACTGGTTGCACCAGGAAAGGAGCCATGTATGACCGAATAAATAAGCATATAGAGGTTTATGTTGCTGAAAAGCAGCACATATGCACAGCTGACTTTCCTTGGAGGACTAAAAGTCAAATGTGAAAAATGTATTATGTAGAAAGACAACTACAAAGCATTCAGGAAGTCAAGATAACCCTTAAAATACTTGAATACATGATACTGTTTTGCCAGGCCAGATACCAGCAGACACACGGCAGGGACCAAAGTCCACTTAGCAAATAATGTCAATAACAGACAGCAATTTACAATATATTTTAAAGGAATTGTGTGGCTTACCTGTTGCAGGTTCGTAAACCTTTTCCTTGTTGCACTTCTCTTGGCTCGGCCATCTCTTCCCAGCCCAGAAGTTCAGCGGGTCGGTGATGTCCACTGTGCCCGAGGAGACGCATCGTATTGCGGTCGCGAGGGGAGCAGCAGTGGGCCGCCGTAGGGAGGCAGCGAGCCTCGGGAGCATTCTCAAAATGGCTCTGGGGCTCGTGGTTTAGCTGGTAACTGTAAAGCACACATTCAGCGAGTTAACAAAATGTAACACTGTCCCTTCATTGAAGCACGACCGGCATTAGTAAAGTTTAAAAGGAGTTTCACTCAGTTAACGTTAACGTAACAGTTAACGTTAACTTGCTTCAGCAAGTGTACTAAACTGTTAAACGCTAGCTACGTTTTCGTCGTTTTGTTATTTATGTTTTATTAATGTCTTTAGAAAACTTACTTACAGGGTTCCTTACACTTACTGCGTATTTTAAGGTTATGAATCTTTATAACTGTTCATATAATGTTAGATTAATGTTCGGCTACATCATTTTTCTGGGACTCAACCAGAAGGCGGGGTAAATAATTTACGTACAGCCGTTGGTGGAATCTGCTGGCAACGTAACACATCGTAACAGACGATTGGTTCTTACAACTGTCAATCACAAACGAGAAAACAAATGAAGATAATATTTAATAATTATTAAATTAATCAAATATTAATTTTACGCACGACACAGTGAACATAGACTGAAAAACACATGTAAATAAATTACTGGAAATAAAATTTACAGTGTGCTTAAAGTTAACAGTGGTGTTGTGGGAGGAGCTCCGCCTCAATGATCTTCCAGCACAGTAGTTCCGACCGCACATTGCAAGCATGGCCGGGGACAGCGAAACACATCTAAGGGACCGCGGCGAGAACACCAGCATTATTCGACAACCTTTTCTCATCGGTGTGTCCGGAGGCACCGCCAGCGGCAAGGTTGGCACCCCAGCTAGCTATTTTGACGGTTTTCACGAATTGTCACAGGCATTTTGAGCTAAATCACGGCAGGCTGTCGTCAGTCGGCAGCCGGGTGCTAGTTGACCGCGTGGCTTGAGCGACGCAGCGTTGAGTTTTGATTGACAGCGATATCATCTGTTTAGCCATCCAGCTCTTCTCTAGCACCGGTTTCATTTGACACGCGTGTCCCCCGCGCGTTGCAGCGGATTTCCTGTTGTTAAATCACATTTTCCCTTTCGTACAGGGTGGCGGTCGCTAGGAAACCAACTAGCTGCTTTTAGACTACGTGGAGAGAAGTGATGTTAGCTTGCTTAGCTACCTAGCTAAATTCCATCACATTGTAGCAGTGCCGGTTGTGCTAGCTAGACAATAGCTAGCGCTAGCTCCCCTTTTGGCTGTCTGGTATGTGTTTGTAAACAGTGTATCACATTTATTTCCTGTCTGGAATATCTTTATTATTGTAATTTGTAACGTCATATTAAATAAGACAAAATCTGCTGTAACGTTATAGCGGTAACTTATTTTTAGTGCGAGTGACCTGAGATAACCACTAACGGTAAATGACGTTAGCCTCGATGTTTATATAATGAATCATAACAGAGACGCGCCAGCGGGAAATGGCACCTCGGAAGATTTTATCGCACCAATGTCAGTACATAAAAACCGACCTTCATTTCAACACCCTGCTCGTGCGTTTACGGTTTACTCACGCGGCAGTGCTAGACTCGCCGGTTCTGACCTCCTTGTTCCCATAAGCACACAGACGTGGATATTTTCGAAGACGTCATTGGATTTCTTTGTTATGGAGCGGGTGTCACGTATTTCCAGTCCTGATAGCGGTGCCAAAAACCACACCTCACATTAACCGTTGACCCGCGTGGATTTGGTGAGCTATACAGCCACAGTTTAACGGCTCTCACAACCAACGTTGACTTTTAATAGCTGGTTTCACTCGTCGTGTACGTGCAGAAGTAGATACAAGGACGATGCCTCTATTCCGACTACATTTCCCCAGCTGGCCCCGCCTCCCAACTTTGTCCTAGATACACAGTGGTACGGGGCCAGTGTTTTGCTTCCTGAAAGGCCACCTCACAGGGCACTGGACGGAGGGTTGTCTGTAGTGTTGTGACGCTGGACTACACCAGTCTTTATAAGTAAGGTGATTGCTCCCAGATAAGATGACGCAATTATAGCGCCCTGATCTGAAAGCAGCCACCAGCACAACACAGGGTGGCAGCAATGCAGACTGTTGCATCTTCATCTGCCTCACTGATGATTGGCTTTGCTTAGTGAACACATGAATTATTCTTTGTTCATTAAGTTACAAAAATAAACAAAAGGTTCAGTTGATATTTTTCAGCATTGATTAACCCTTAAATCACTGTTATCAGTAATAATTGATAGTTGATTTCTATTTTGAACATATAAAAAGACATGAACATACAAACAGACAGAAAGAAAGTAATACTCACAAAAAATGAAAAGCAGTGTATAATTACTTTCACACTAGCACACAAAAATAATCCATGCATATGTATATAATGGTTATTACTAAGTATCTGTCTTGCAAAACCCTATCTTAGTATATAATATAAATTACCAACTATAATAAGATAAGATGAAACTTTATTGATCACTAACCGGGAAAATTCACGTGTTGCAGCAGCTCAAATAGCACAGATAGAAAAGCAAGTTGAATGGCAATAGAATAATATATGTATGTATGTATGTATAAATAAAACATATTACCAATTGTCTTTGCCTTACAAAAATACATTTAAATATAGATAAATGACAAATGGCAAGTGGCGGCTACATGATGAAATAACTGTCCAAAAATCAAACAATTATTTTGCAGTGTTAAATAAAGAGTAGTGACACCTGTTTGCATTTATAAAACTAAAACGGTTGCTTTTCACTTTATAAAAAACAAATAATTACTTTGCCATAGATTCAGAGCCTCATTAATTGTCAGTGTGAATTAAATCTTTGATGTGTTCAGGGTTCGGGCTCTCTGAAATTGTGTGTTAAGTTGACGAGTGGGGGTGTCCAGATTCATTGTAGCACAGTTTCATTGACACAAAGGCAGCAGAGCCTCGGGCAGCTGGAGAACGCACAGTCAGCAGTGGGTGTGAGATTCATTTAGTTGGGGAAAGGTCAGCGGGGGCAAACGTGTCGGGCACCTATGATGTTTTAGCTGACCTTACACGATGTGGGAAATTACCCACCCACTCAGCCTGCTTCTCTGTAAATGTGACTGTGGGTGTGTTGGCTGAATTGAAACTAGTTTTCACTCCTACTTTGGTGCTGCTGCAGATTTTTTTAACCATGCGCCTTTGTACATTTTTACCCCCATTTTTCAGCTAATGACCTACTTATTTAATCTGTCTGTTCCTGCAGTCGTCAGTATGTGAGAAGATCATGGAGCTGCTTGGACAGAACAAGATCGACCACCACCAGCGGCAGGTGGTGATCCTCAGCCAGGACAGCTTCTACAAGGTGCTAACCCCGGAGCAGAAGGCGAAGGCGCTTAAGGGCCAGTTCAACTTTGATCACCCAGGTATGCACACGCTGAGCAGTTTGTGGCACAGCTAATGCCCTGTATGGGATGTATTGCCTCTGCTGGCTTGCAGCGGGCACATGTTTGCTATTCATATCAGATTTCAGAGGCCTCACGACAGATTTTTCTCTAAATGATGTGAAATCAGATGCTGGAGTGAATTTTTTTAATTAGTGTTAGTGATGGCTGAGGTTGTTTGAATGCTTCACTGATTAAAAATTAAGGCTTAAATGACAGTAAGCTGCAAATTTAAACAAGCAATTTGATGGTGACGATGATATAAAATGCTTAAATCAGGACTGTGTTCAGCAGCATGCTTCACTGCTGCGTTGATTATTTCCTCCACCGCTTTTTGGCAGAAGCGTAGTCTCCATGTTTGGCATCCGACTTTGCCCCCTCATGCTTCTGCTTCCTTTCTCAGCTGAGTTTAAATCCTCACAGTCAGCACGCCTTTCTCAGAGGCACATTCTCAGAGGCAGCTGCTTTAAGGCTCAGAGACTGAACCCAACACCTGTTACATGAAAGGGGGTTCCTGGGTTACCAAACGTGCAATGCAGGGTCCCACGTGTTCACCGGGGCCAAGTAACATGACATCTCATGAAGGTCCCACATGAGCATTTGCCCTTTCTTGTCCTCAGATGCCTTCGACAATGAACTGGTAATGCAAACGCTCAGGGACATCCTGCAGGGGAAGACGGTCCAGATCCCAGTTTATGACTTTGTCGCTCATTCCAGGTGAGCACGCCTGTTTGCTGCACGTGACAGATGCATTGTGGTCGGCACCCGCACTTGTTTAGGCAGAACGTGCAGTTACAAGTCACGTTAAGGCGGTTCCTAATTAGCGTCATTGTGCAATCAGATTAAATTTGCATAACCGCTGTGCCTGAATGTTGTTGCTGACCGAGAGGAGGAAATCTCTTTTGTGTGTGTTGTTCCAGGAAAGAGGAGGTTGTTACAGTGTATCCGGCTGACGTGGTCCTGTTTGAAGGCATCCTCATGTTCTACTCACAGGAGATCAGAGATCTGTTCCAGATGAAGCTGTTTGTTGACACAGATCCAGACACACGGCTCTCACGCCGAGGTGTGTAGCGAGAGCTGGGTTGATACATAACGACTGTAAAGGCAGTGAACCTCCTTACTTGATTTATAATTTCCACCTTTTTGTGTTTTCTCTGCAGTTCTGAGAGATATCAGTGAGCGGGGTAGAGAGCTGGAGCAAGTGCTCGCCCAATACATCACTTTTGTGAAACCGGCCTTTGAGGAGTTCTGTTTACCAGTAAGTGACGTTCCTAACTTACAAGCAGCTGTGGTTGTGCAGCAGAGTGTTGTAGTATATTGTATGCCCACCAGGGGGCGCTGCTGACTTATTGTTTTAAAATGCCCGGGTCTCAATATTTTGGTCACATTTTTTAAATAACCACATATAATCAAAATATTTTTTATGTTGTGGTTATTGACCAAAAACTACAGGTCTTTGTTTCTCCCCAGTCACAGCCTGGCTCCGCTGTGCAGCATGCATCTGATCATGAGATTTCTTTGTTTTCAGTAACTCAAATATTGATGCTATCTTTATTTCTTGCAGACAAAGAAGTATGCAGATGTGATTATTCCCCGAGGAGCAGATAACCTTGGTAAGGACGAATACTCTTCAGTCTACAGACATTGCATGTGTGTGGCTCAGGCTGTATAGTGTCTCTTGGATCCTTAAGAAGGTGTTTTGTAAAGAAGGTTTTATAAAGGCTTTTGTGGCCCCAGAGGGAGCTCTGTAAAGTCTGATTAAGGTCAGTTGGGTGTGAAGACTGAAGGTTAAAAATTAAAACAAAGTAGCATAAAACCCCAAAATTTCAGACTGAAATATTAGCAGTGGGGTTGCATTATGGGTAATGTAGGCATCAAGTTTTATTAATTGAAAATTTCAGGGCACACGCTGCCCATTTCTGGACAAGTAACAACTGGACAAGTAACAACAACACAACTCTGAAGGTGGAGAGATGGTCATGGTAATAATACTTAAACAAAGTCAATAATCAAGTAAATTAATAAATAAATTAAAAATAAAAAGTAGAATAAAAAATGTAAGATAAAGAAAGAAATATGTAGAATATTTTAAATAAATGACAAAAGTAATAAAATAGAAAATAAGTTATACATAAAATAAAGTTGAGAATGAAATAAAATAGAGATGGTAATTGATACAAAACAAAGGAAAAATTAATTGAAAAAAAAATACAATTGAGGCACCATATTTTTAAATTAATTTAAGAATACATGATGATGATGATGATGATGATGATAATAATAAGAATAAGAATAATAACAATAATAATAGTAAAACAAGTAAATTAATAAACAAAGAAAAATCAATTAAAAAATAGAATTAGGAAAAGTAAAAAAAAGTAAAGAAATAAATATATAAAATAATGCTATAAATAAATACATGGAAAATAAGCAAAAAAAATTAAAAATAGATGTAATAGTTTTAGTAGTAATGATAATAAAATATGTAAATAAAAATAATAAAAAATTAAGTAGGTTTTAAAAAATTATACATAAATAAATACATAATAATAATAATAATAATAATAATAATAATAATAAAAAAAAAATAATAATAATAATAAAAAATAATAATAATAATAGTAAAACAAGTAAATTAATAAACAAAGAAATCAATTAAAAAATAGAATTAGGAAAAGTAAAAAAAAAAGTAAAGAAATAAACATAAAATAATGCTATAAATACATGGAAAATAAGCAACAAAAAAAAATAGATGTAATAGTTTTACTAGTAATGATGATAAAATATGTAAATAAAAATAATAAAAAATTAAGTAAGTTTAAAAAATTATACATAAATAAATACATAATAATAATAATAACAACAACAACAACAACAACAACAACAACAACAATAAAAACAGGGAATTGGTAATTGTGATACCAAGCTAAGTAAACAATTTAAAAAAAAAAAAAAAAAATACAATTGAAGCACCATGTTTTGAGATGGGAAAAATGTGTGGAATGAAAGAAGACAGCTGCTTCGCTAGATTCTGATAACATTTTTAATTGTCTAGTGTGAGTCCGACAGTGTTCAGTACAATCCTAAATCTGCAGCATAAACTTACGTCTTCTAACCATCTCTCTTCTCTCTTTTCTCCTGCAGTGGCCATCAACTTGATAGTACAGCACATCCAAGACATTCTGAACGGTGGACTAAGCAAACGCCACAACGGCTGCACGAACGGCCACACTACTCCACGTCAGCGGCGGACCTCCGAGTCCAGCAGCCGGCCTCATTGACCTCGTCACACCTCTCTTCACAGGCCGGAGAGGGGTGTGGGGGTTGCGCTGTAAATAATGCCTCTTGGGATGACTGTATTTAAGAGAAGAAAAAAGAGAGAGATGCAAAAAGAATTGAAATGCCTTTTATTATTATGACTACTCTTGTTATTAGTTACTTTTATTGTAATTGTTGAACTTGGGATTTAGATTTTTTTGTCAGGAGGGTAAAAGAAAAGCTCTTGTTGTTCTTGTGATGAGACCATGGGTAAAAAATTGACCCCATGCATTTTTCTCCCAGATTGCATTTTGTTTTTTATGTATCCCCTGCTGCTCCATGGAAATTCATGTCGCGAATGAATAAAAGAGGGGAACCCTTCTTTTTTTTTGTAATGTCTGATAAAACTTGAACCCCTAATGGCCGGGGAGTCTGATAAATGTTTGGGTGGGTCCCAAACACGAAGGATGTGGATTAGAAGCTGAAGAAACAATGATTACACTCTGTATTTGTACTGACAATCTTGGGAGTGTTTCCCATCCTTCTTGTTTTCAGTGTTTAAATTCCCTCATTTGTATTGTTTAGTGTAACATGTTACACTAGAAATCTGTTTACTGCAAAGTTTCCACCACGCCGACTCTATCACGTCTGCTGCAGCAGTAACACACTACATGAGTTTTCATGTCAGATTGTCAGGAGCAGAATAACGTGACGACAAGACCAATGAAGCCAAAGGCTGCGAAATTCAGCTGACTACTGTATTAGCCCAGTCGAATGTTGTGGGGATTGTTACTTTTGGGATGCAAGATTTGTCCCAATCAAAACTCATTTATACTCATTCTTTATTTGAATGAGGATGAAATAATTATTCATGAGATACTTATTTGATTTTCTTAAATTCTCCATATTAGATGGTTTAGCATGACAGAATCAGCCCCGTTGAATAAAATTAAAGTATGACAGCTACACTCTCAGGTTGGTAACATTTTGATTCAAAGATGCCAGAACAAAGGTGTGACATGGGTGTTTAATGCCACAGCAATATGCGTTTTCCCAGGTGTGTGGCCATTAACCACCAAGACCCACCACAATGCCTCTGCAAAGTTGCCTCAGGTTAAACATGTACAGTAAGTATCCACACTAGAAGCCAGTTTCCATTCTTTAACTTAAAGTTATAATGAAAATAATTAAAAAAAAGAGAAAAGTTGAATTTTGTATTCCACGTGCTGTATTTGTTGTGTATCGTGCAATTGAATGACTGATTTGTACCATTTGTACTGTATGGCTGTTCAGTGGTCTCAGGCTGTGGGATGGTTTGTAATGGGATGACAGCAATCGCTAAGCAGTCAATAAACTGATGCAGCCGAGTGTTTCCGTCTGAGGAGTGTCATTATTTCTTTCTTTATGTACACTGCACAAAAATTTAAATGCAACCCTTTTGTTTTTGCTCACATTTTTACAAGATTATGTTAAATATCTAAGACTTACATGCTCTCATTAGATATATTCCGTCAAGTTTTGGTCGCAAAAATACATGTTAGTGAGCACCTCTCTTTTTCTAAGACAATCCATCCACCTGACAGATGTGGCGTATCAAGATGCCGAGTAAACAGCGTCATTACTTAACAGATATTCCTTGGGATGGTCACAATAAAAGGTCACTATAAAGTGTAGTTCATTTCACTACCATAAGATGTGTCTAATTTTGTTTCCGTGAATTTGGCAGTACATCCAACCATCCTCAGCTGTCACTGTATCGTAAGTGCGTACGTGAACAAACCACGTCACAGGCAGCTCCTCGCTGTGAGGTGAAGTTGCACTGTGCACCAATAAGTAGGTCATTCATTTATTTTGGGTTTGTTTTGTCCACTAGAGGGCGTAATTGACTTCTACTGTTATGCTCCCTTCAGGTGCTGACGGATATGCGAACATTTGGACACGTGTAATACGTGTACCACTAAAAATGATTGGGAAACAACAGTAAACACGTTTCTTTTAGTTGTCAATATAATGACCACACATGCAGTATGCATGGACGGATTATGAGACAATGGGCCCTTGGGCACAGATATGCAAAAGGGCCCAACATCTCTCTCACGCAGGAGCAAGACAGTAAGACTTTATGGTGGATTTGCCTCTTTTTTGTAGTTATTTTGCATCTATTTGCAGTCGTTATGCATATTTTTGTGGTTTTGTGTAATTTTGAAGTAATTTTGTGTCTATTTCTGGTCGTTTTCCTCCCTGTTTTTTGGTCATTTTGAGTCTCTTCCCGGTCAGTACATGTTAATTTGAGCAGGGCTGTGCAGAATCCTGTTGAGGGGCAGGTGCCTTAAGTTAAAAAGGGGCACATGAGACAATACTTTAAAACATCACACACCAGCATCATTTACAGCATGAGCTGTTGAGTTAAAGCAACCTATACTCAAACAGAATGTAACATGGGAACCTGACAACAAACCACTCCATACTATATTCATTGTACCCCACCCGATGAAACCTGAGGGGGATTATGATGATTATGATTGCATATAATGTGCAATATGATGTCATTTTACCTGGTTATTGCAAAAATATGGATCTTTCTTTGAGCTTTTTGGCTGTTCCAAGCACCCATATTATAGCAGACCAGAATCAAAATCAAAATCCAAACAAGAACTTACTTGACCACAGTCAGGACAACTGTTAAACTTTTGCTGCATGACTGATGCACGATTCGAAGGTGATGCTTTGTTTCGCTAATAGTATAAAGTTAACCTGAAAATCAATAACACAAATGAAACTCACCATCTAAATGTGACCTCTAAGTGTCTGTCTGTGGCGTCTTGTGTTGCAATGTAGGGGCACATCATGGATGGTCTTTCACCTGCTGCAGGTGGAAGGTCATCATGTGATGTAAAATGGCTGATGGCAGTCAGGTCATTTCATTTGTAGCTAAATGATTGTTACTCCAATTGCCTCAGGTTCTACTTGATAAAAGCTGTAAGCTGGTCTTTACCAAATAAAAAAGGGCACTTTGGACATCAAGGGGTAAAGGAGTAGGTGCTCAAACACCCTTAGCCTTCTCCTCTGTACCGGAATTTGAGTGACATTTTGCGTTGAAGGCTAGGGGGGCCACTAACACTTTGGGCCCCTGGGTCTTTGCCCTTTAGGCCCATTCAGGAATCCATCCATGACTGTATGCACTATAAACAGACCAATTAATCATATTAAATATATAATTAATTTTATTTATTTTATCTGTAAGGACAATACACATTAATTCACAGGACAAATACAACATAAACACAACATTACCTACAGCAAACAGAATTGTTAAGGTATAACAGAAGCCACGCAAAGCAACAGCAGAGCAACAGTACGATACAATAACACAACAACAACAGCAAACAGCATGTTAGCACAAACAGACAGGTGAGCAACATGAAGAACCAGCATTACATATAATGTCACATACAATATAACACCCACATTTATTTTCAGTTACATTATTACCAAAACAAAGCTCTAAAAACAGAAACAGAAAACTCCAAAACAGAAAACTCAGACTTAGAAGCCAGAATTTCCGAGGTGTACGTGAACGCAGCAGTGTGGAAGCTTCAAGATGGTGGTACGTGTCAACGCTGCATGTTTCTGATGCACAGAGTGAAGCTTTTTTTCTAATTTTCGGGGGTAATGTAACCTCTCCTTTTGTCATGACAGAAATTTGGGCTCCAGTTCAAAGCCACATTGGAGAATGTCACCAACGTGAGACCGCTGGGAGACGACTTCCGGTGGTTTCTAAAGGTGGGATGGCTGTCAAGCTAGCATGCTAATACACTGTATACATCATCTCATTTTCCTCTCTGTGCTCGAGTATGGTCATAATTTAGTCATGGTCGTTGTCAGGGGAAACAGCTGACATTACCTCATGTGTGGCAACTCAATAAGAGAGCACGTGACCTCTGCAAATTTTGACAAATTGAGTTACTGTCTCCAATTAACAGTGTTTTGGTGTCTCTCCCTCTGTGTAGCTGAAGTGTGGGAACTGTGGAGAGATCTCAGATAAATGGCAGTATATAACCCTGGTGGTAAGGACAAAAGTGATATTTGTGTACATACAGTTTGGCAGATTTTGCACACATTGTCACACACAGTGTCCAACCTGTGTGTTTACATGGTCTCACAGGAGAGTGTGCCACTGAAAGGAGGAAGAGGCAGTGCCAGCATGGTGCAGAAGTGCAAACTCTGCTCCAGGGAAAACTCAATAGGTACGTGCGGACATGCCAGTTGACTCACTTTGCCCTTCTTTCAGAGGTAATAGGTGGTAACATATTGTTGTTTTTTTTGTTACAGATATTCTGGCAGACACAATCAAACCTTATAATGTAAGCAAACATCTACAGCCAATAATGGTTTTAAACCACTAAGCAATGGCGGCATTGTGGTTGTTATAGTTTGTTTTAAAGGGGAACCATGGTCTTCTTCAACCTCAACTGTATTTTCCATGTTTTTGTGTTAAAGCAATCTGTGGGAACATTTTTAAAAGTGGTGCAGTATTGAGAGACAGTGCTGCAGCTGAAACAGGCTGCATATAAACACTCGAGGCATGTGTGCCCCTTCAAGTTACGTACAGAAAATGTGCTTGTCTTTGCCACTAACAGGCTCAGGATCCTACAGAGAAATGAAATGATTTTCATACCTTGTTTTGTGTTCAAGTCTTGCTAACATGAAGTCTCGCACTGAAATCGCACAAGAGGCGACTTGTTGCAGGAAGAAATGCAAGTGAGAATTGGAGAGAGGAGTACCAGTAATGGTTTGTTGTGTTGGAGTACAGAAAGCAGATCTTACACTTATCAAAATGATTTCCAATGTCATGTCTGAATATTTAGCTAATTTCGACAATGTAGAAAAGTGTGTGAGATTTAAGAATGAGACCTTTCCTTTAGCAAGACTTGGATGCAAAACAGAACGGAGGAAGCCAGGACACTCACAATAACAATCTCAGCTTGTCAGTTGATCTGCCAGTCAGTTGCATTTTTAATGGATGTAGATTCAACAATTGCTGTTCCCATGAGTCACTAAGACACAGAAACATGATAAAATAGGCTCCACGTTGAAAAATACCAAAGTTAAAGGATAGAAAATGCTGTAGGGGATCTTATAGTATTCATTGTGAGCAGGCAGAGTGATCACAGCAAGCACAACCTGTTTCAGGATTGATATTAGCATGTGAATATTATTTAAAGATGGACTTAGAAAATATGAACCTGTCCTATCATGTTTTTGTGGAAAGTTTTTGTTGTTATTTTTGTTTCTCTCGTTCTGAAAATAAAGCAGCTTTAAAAGATTTTAGAAATGCCTCTAACATATGCAGAAAATCTGTCTCATAATGACCACCATGATGGCAGCTTGTTGAGTGCTGCTTCTTTTCCAGTCATTAACGGTGTCTCTCTGTCTGTATGTTTTGTTGGGTTGCAGGCAGAGGACAGCGAAAGATTCAAGACGATGGTCCAGTTTGAGTGTCGAGGTTTGGAGCCTGTTGACTTCCAACCTCAGGTGAGACTCTTTGAGCAGATATGAGTGTTACAGTGTGTGTAGCGTAGGCTTTTTTTTTTTACAGCAGGGATTAAAATTGTATGTCTGCAATCACATAAATGATGGCTCTGTTGTGTTTAAGTGTCCATGACAGTGTGACAGTGAGCCAGCATGCACAATACCACGACCCTGAAACTGAAGCAGCTTTATGAAATTCAGCCATCTTTCTTATCCTGAGTAACTGGGTCATGATTTTTGGACAGAGACATTGCACTTAAGTTTTTCAAGTGTATTTTTTAGCGCTTTGAGCGAAGACAGACACCTCTACAGTCGATACCTCCAACACTCTAAACCAAACAGCACACCTAAATTAGATGACATCGACTAATGTTATTAGAGATCCCTGTACTTCCTGCTGAGCCCAGATATTTGCTGTGTGTAAAAAGTGTATAGCTCCTGAGTCAGACAGTTTACTTGAGGTAAAAAAAAGAAAATCAATGAACAGGACAATATTAAAACATCATGTGACTCTTCTCCCACTGCAGGCTGGCTTCGCTGCGCACGGAGCAGAGTCTGGAACACTGTTTCCTGAAGTCAACCTACTAGAAAAAGTAAGAGCAGTGGGAACAACTTGTCCTCAGAGTGTGTCAGGTTTTGTTTATATGTTGTTCAGTGCACGGATGTGAACTTTTGACTTGAACAATATTTGACTTGAAACAGAAAATCCAACCTTTGATACTGAGCTATATTCATTTGCACGTCTGTTTAAGAACACGACAGCATCCTTAATCTGTGCAACCTGACAGATTCTCATTTTGTAAATTTCAGGACTGGACAGACTATGATGAGAAAGTCAGCGAGTCGGTGGGGATATATGAGGTCACGCACCAGTTCATCAAGTGCTGATGTCATCATGTGATGAACCTCAGAGGTGGACAAGTGAACACTACAGCCAAACATGCTCAGGCCTGTTTGCTGGCATCAAGGATGCTTCAGATGCTGAGGCAGCAAGGTTTGGTTGATGATGGACATTAACAGGTGTGGATTAATACCACGGGTTGTTCATAGACACCCTGGATTAATCTACGTGTTCAAGGCTTTTTTCACTGGCTCAATAAAATTGAAAGGTGATGATTTGGACTCAAGGTTTTTTCTTTTTTGCACAGTTGAGTGCCTCAGGGTCTGTAGACATGTAGTAGTAGCAGTATTACAACAAACCAACCAGTGAGACAGTGCCAAAACGTCTTGTTATACTTTTAGAGATTTACAGATTTGATTATGCACACCAGAATTTCGATACAGTTACACAACTCTCCACACATTTGCAAATAGTTCCTCTACAATTATGTCCCAATAGAGGAGCAATGATTGGAAACCACTTCAGGTGACTGTTGACCAAGGAGAAGAAATGAAAGAGCTCTCACTCTGTCAGTATTTCAAGGTACTGTAAGCACCAGAAATTGCCGTAAATGTGTGTATGGAGAAGTATGAAAACAAAATGCATTCACTTGAAAACAAAAAAAAACAAAAAAACTAGAAATTATGAGATTACTATCTTGTTAATTTGGGAAACACAAGAACAGAATTTTTCCCCATGAAAACTTTTGTCATGATTCTGAGTTCATGATTTTATTAATTTAGATAAACGAGCAGATTTTTTTTCTCTCTTTAACAATTTTTAGTGATTTTACATTAAACTATACATTCGTTTACAGCGTACATACGCGTCATAGAATATAGGAAAATAATAGCACAGTAGCTGTAACATTCAAATACTTAAAAGTATGTTGTTTTTCTGGTGAATGCATTAAACCTTTCCAGCCTTTCCATCGGTACATTGATGGCGATATCTGGAGTTTAGAGTACCTTAAAATACGAGTGAGAGCCCTGAATTATGAGGAAGGTTTTCATAAAAAAATTTCTGCTCGTTTTTCTGATTTAACGAGATCATTATTTCAGAATCATGAGAAAAGTTTCCATAGGAAAACATTTTTGTCCTTTTTTTGTTTAAAATTAATTAGATATGAATCTTGTAAACTCTCATTTTTCTGAATTAATGAGACAGTTATCTTGTTAACTCAAAAATGTGCAGGCTTTTTTTCCATTAAAACTTGTCTCAATTCTGAGATAATAATTTGGTAAATCCAGAAAAAACAGGGTACATTTTTTTTAACCCTGAAAACATCTGGGATAACCTTGTTAATTCAGAAAGACAGAGCAGATTTGTTTTCACAAGTGAATGCATTATGCTTTCAAACTTTTCCATGGGTTTGTGGATGGCTATATCTGGAGTTTACAGTACCTGAATTAATGAAATTATCAACTCAGAATTCATTTTACATAAAATAATTTCTGCTCTTGTTTTTTTGCATTAATATTATCATCATTTTTAAAATGATGAGAAAAGTTCTCATGGGAAGAAAAGTCTGCTCTTTTCTTGAGATAGTTATCTTGTTAATTAGTAATTTAGAAAAACAATTGCTGGATTTTTTTCACCATGAAAAAAATTCTCATTTTGTTAATTAAAAAAAAAACAGAGCAGGCTTTTAGAATAACTTATTTATTTAAATTATCAAAGAGACAAAATATTAAATGTGAAATGATTGAACACAATAAACAAAACAACAAATGAGTGCCTAAAATTTCACATTTTCTCAGCCTCTCCATATATTTATAATTATTTATAATTTATAATCCTTGATAGACACTGCTGCTACTTAGTTTTCATCACTTTATTACAATTACTATTATATATTTATATCTTTCTAGCCCATTGAGTGTGAACAGTTTTCCCTGAATAAATAATGGTTGAATAAATGAATGAATGAATGAATGCATGCATGAATATAACAGCAGCCTCAAGTATTACCACATGTTTAAGTGCCAAAGAAAAAATAGCAAAGACTGGTTGGTAAATCATGATACCCATCATCATACCCACATAGAGGTGCTGGTTTTCGTCACCGAGTGACGCATCAGCTGCATCATAGACGATCTTTGCTCTGTAGTGAGTTAGCTGGATCATAGACGATCTTTGCTCAGCTGTGAGTTAGCTGGACTCTGTCAGTGCTGCTGCTGTGAGCTGTTCACGGACCTGTGTGTCTCTGAGAGGAGAACATGACACCTGCAAGGATGAACAGGGTGTTTGTCGTCGGTGTGGGCATGACAAAGGTAATATTAAGTCACATTTTATTATCTCAGACAATTAGCAAGACGTCGTGAACAACCATTGTGTAAGGCTTGAGGCTAGCTTAGTTAGCTAACTCCAGATTGTAGAACTTTGGACTTGTTCCTCTTAAAAACGCGTTTTATTTCAGTAAGACAACAAGTCAGAGGGTAGTTAACTTTTAAAATGAATGTAAGGGACATTAATTGTGCTCATATGGTGTCGACACCTCTCCAAGATCTGTGTCAACACCACACCACACACTGTAAACATTAGCTAGCTAAGTTAGCCCAAACAAGCTAACATTGTGTCAGTTTATGTTTTATTTTTATGTTTAGTTGTAGTTTTCTGGGTCTGCGTTGCTTCCTCGACCTCCTTGGCTCTGTATCTAATGTCGACACACTGAGTCCATAGTTCATGGCCACCAGAGGCACAAAGTGTGCAAAGGGTCATCACTGCAACAGGCTGCTGCTGCTGCTGCTGGCACCATGAACTGAGCTGTTAAGCTAGTTTCACCATAGTCAGAACAAGTGTCAGGTCATATGAACAAATTGAGTTTATTAACCTTAATGCTCACAGCTAACAATGAAACAGGTGCATACTTTATACTAAAAATGTAGAACTACATCTATATATGACTTTACATAATAAAAAATATCCACATGTATATACTCACATGCACCCATACATTCATTCTCATACAACCATGTATGCTTTATTTCTGTGAGGTTTGCTGGGTGTTCAGACAAAAAGGCTCTTCAGCAAATCATCAAGACAGCAGAAAGTCACTGGTTGCCTCCTCCCCTCTCTGTCAGTCAATGCAAACAGCCAATAACATCATAAAGGACATTACACGTCCCGGCCACCACCTGTTCGAACTGGTCCATCAAATCCAGAAACACCAAATTCACAAATAGCTTCTTCCCAAACACAATAATTTCACGAAACAAATGTTGTTAAACATCTTAAGTCTACTAACTGCCACCTCTTGCACATCAACACCTGCACTTTATTTCAATATTGCTCTTTTATTGTTATTGTTTTATTTATGTTTAATTTTTTTATGTTGTATTTATTGTATGCACCATGGTGGAGTAGTGCTCCTAATTTCATTGTACTGTAAAGTACAGTGACAATCAAGGAATTCAATTCAGTGCATACAATTTTAATGCAACAACAGAAGAACCCCAAAAAAGCCACTTGCAAGTGAAGGTGGAATTAGGGTTCAAGGGTCTACTGCCTGAGCCATAGCCACCGCTATCTTATGTAATGGTTACGGAGACAATGAAGTTGAGTGCCAAAGAATGTCATAGTGTACTGGAGAACAGGAGGAACAGATATGGATGCTTATGTTGATTGACCTTCACTGTGTCTGTCACACTTTTTTATGTTTTGCTGCAGTTTGACAAACCTGGAGCCCGAGGCGACTATGATTACCCTGACATGGCCAAGGAAGCAGGTGCTTATCTTAACAGAATATAGACGCTGCTCAGTCATTGAAAAGATAACGTATCTGATTATCTGTTAAAGGATGTTGTTGCATAACATGATGTCTACATCCTGTTGTAGGTCAGAAGGCTTTGGCAGATGCAGGAGTCCCATATTCTGCCATTGAACAAGCCTGTGTTGGATATGTCTATGGTAAGATGCTGTTAAAGGTTAACTTTGGTATTTTTCAACCAGGATTCAACCCTATTTTCCCATGTTTTTGTTTTTAAATGACTAATGTCACTGAAATAGTGTGCCAACTTTTTATATTCTCATATACATACAAAATATGCTCTCGTAATTTCCGATCTACTGTGTACTCTAAAAGCATAACTTTTTGTAATTTTAAGTAAAATGCTTTGAGACATGAAAGAAAGTCTCTCATATTGGAATATTCTGAGTAAAAGAGTGCACTGACTCAGGGATAGCATCTTCTTTTCTACCTTCTCCCCTCAGGTGACTCCACATGTGGACAGAGGGCCATTTACCACAGCCTGGGCCTGACTGGGATCCCCATCATCAACGTCAACAACAACTGCTCCACAGGCTCCACTGCTCTCTTCATGGCACGCCAGCTCGTTCGGGGAGGTGAGTGGAGCGGGACGCCTTGAAAGTGATAAAGCACCCTTGGAAAAACCTTGTGCGATTCTTTATCACCCCGAGACTAACAGCATTGTCTCCTGTTGTAGGTCTTGCTGACTGTGTGCTCGCTCTCGGGTTTGAGAGGATGGAGAAGGGCTCTTTGTCTGCAAAGGTATAAAACTGTATGATGTGTGTTGCTGTACTGGATGTAGAGGAGGTGGACAAAATAGCACTTTATATGTGTGCTGATCTACCACTGCCTCAATCAGTTAGTTTGACTGTCTTATTGTATGAACTTGATGAATCCGAACCAACCCTTTTAAACACTAAAATACCTCACACAACCACATTTCAAAAAAATCCACACTATCCCTTTAAAGTGTCGTTTTATACTCAGTAAAAAACAAGTAAAATGTTATTTAAAAATACCTGCTTGTAGTTTATGGACAGGACCAATCCCATGGACAAGCACATGGAGGTGATGATCAACCGCTATGGCATGGTGGCAGCTCCAGCAGCACCACAGATGTTCGGCAACGCTGGCAGGGAGCACATGGAGAAATATGGTACGTGCTACGTGTGTGTTTGACACAGAGATGGCTTACAAGGTCTAAAATGTGAAGCTGATGGTTATATCTCGCATTGAGGTCATGATTTTACCACATCATACACATTAAAGTTTTGTGTTGATATTTTGAACTCTTACAGGCACTAAACCGGAACACTTTGCCAAAATCGCCTGGAAAAATCACAAGCATTCCACCAACAACCCGTAAGACAGCGTTAACTTAAAGAAAAGTTTATTGCTTCAGTAAATCTTTGAATTTATTTTTATTTAAGTGTGTATGTTTATGCAGGTATTCACAGTTCCAGGATGAGTACAGTTTGGAGCAGGTGATGAAGTCCAGGAAGGTTTTTGACTACCTTACTCTGCTGCAGTGTTGGTAAGAGCCTCACTGATCACAGTTAGTGTCGTTATGAGTGTAACTACGGCCCCGTTTCCACCAAACACTTTCGGTACAGTACCTTTGGAACCAAAAGTAACCCTTCAGACATGGTACCTAGACCCTAGCTTTTCCACCAATTTCTTTTTGATCAAAACACAGAGTTATTGATGATAATTACTTCAGTTTCTAACTTCACCATGTCTGTCTGACTGTTCTGTTCTTCTCCTCTCATCAGCCCCACATCAGATGGTGCCGGAGCAGCAGTTTTGGCCAGTGAGGCCTTCGTCAGGAAACACCACCTGGAGAACCAGGCAGTGGAGATTTTGGCCCAGGAGATGGTGACTGACCTCTCCTCCACGTTTGAAGAAAACAGCTGCATTAAGATGGTAAGATACTGTCATTTAATAGTGTGTAACATTCTTTTCTGGATCTACAAACCACACAATATTGGAAGTGTATTAATACTTTGTCAGGGGATGAGAAATGTACCCAACATATGCTACAGCCAAGAACAGAGGGAGATTTTTGATGGCTAAACTAAAGAAACAGTTTTGCATGACAGAGAAGAAAATGTTAACATTATATATTTCTGCAGAACTGGAATACATTAAGAATTATGATTTGCACTATACAGACATTACCAAAAATGTTTTGAGAATGTTGACAAATGGAAGATAAGTAAGTAAGTATTCCTGCCATTCATGGCAACATGCACTCTTTAACATTTAGATTTAATCAAATAAATTTGACCTTTTAATGATATGAATGTAAATACAGCTCCAAGGAAGTTTCTTGAAGACCGACTGTTTAGACAGTGAGGTCTCAGAGTTAGGGATTAAAGGCTGCAGTCAATATTTTGGCTGTTGGTAAAGCACACGGGGAGGACTGTCAGAGCATTGAGTTTTATTTGAGTTTTCAAGATGTACTGTTCCCCTCTCTATTTGCACCATTTGTCCACTTAGTCTATCAAATAATGATTGGGTTTGCAGAGATATTGCAATACATCTTTAGTGATGGGTTTTATCTTCAAAGTGGAACTAAACATGTTTTTATACCTCTGTGCTGCAGACAGATGGGGCTGGAAGCATTATGTATTGGGTTTGCCTGTGGCCTCGTGCCTACAGCTGTATCACAGCCCTGCTGATATTCAGTACAACAGAATTCCCTCTTGTGTAATATTGCTTAAGCACTGCTGAGGGCATCACAATAACAACAATACACAGTATCTCATTATTAAAAACTGAGGCTAGGGTTGAAGGTTAATTCTTGTCTTATAAGGTAAGTTAAGATAAGATACACCTTTATTGATCCCATAAGTGAGAAGTTCCAGTGTTACAGCAGTCAATGAGAAAGAATCAGATTAAAGATTTCAAAATTAAACTTAAAAAACTTAAATAACTAGGCATGCAAATAAGTAAAAAAAAATACAAGAGACGGCGATAAATAACAATAAAAATAATAATAATAATGAAAATAATAGGAAGTATAAATAAAGTTATACTTATCAGCTGTAGTCCTGTGTGTTTAGAATTTATCAGGACCTGAAAGATAACTCCATTGTGATGAATTTGTTTCCTTAAATGAGTCCCTAGATATACTTTCTTTGTTTTTTTCTTTCTGTTCAGGTGGGATATGACATGTCTCGGTTGGCTGCCAGAAAGTGTTTTGAAACCACAGGTCTGAAGCCCAGTGACGTCGATGTGATCGAGCTGCACGACTGCTTCTCAGCCAACGAGCTCATCACATACGAGGCTCTGGGACTGTGTCCAGAGGGTGAGACTACAGCTCTTAAAACCCGACTTTATCCCCCAGCTATTTTAAAACTTGGCTGTTCGGGCAGTTATGAATAATATTTCCACTGCTCTTCTTCCACCTGAATGTAAGGTTATACTTTGAGGAGAATACGTAGACGTGAAAATGGGCCAGGGTTAGGGATGTCATTATCGCAGCATGAGAAGATACAAACAACAATAAAAACAAAAAAAGGCCACATTTAAAAATCTCTTCACATTGTTTGATCAGCTTTATTGACATAGCAACTGAGTGATCGCACAGAGAGTTGGAGCCCACAGAAAGTTGGCATCTAAAAGTTGCTGCTGCACAGAAGCACCCAGCCACATCTGGGAGGACTGGCAGCTTCATCAGTGTTGTCGAACAGCTCAGTTTCCCCTCACTGACACCACGACGCAAGAGTGACTTTTACAAATATTTCCACTCAGGAGATAATTTGAAAAGCTACTTACTGAGTTGCGCCTCTGACTGCAGCGATGTGTTGATGTTAAATTAGATCAAGTTGAATCTTTCGGGCATGAATAATATGTTTTCATTTCATTCGTCAGCTCGTATTAGTGTAATATGCTGATATTGGCCCTCTGTGGTGCCTTCCTGTGGTCGAGAGACAGGCTAGACTTCTCAGTGTTGCATTTTATAGTATTTGTACGATTTATTATTTACTTGTAGAGACTTGATATATGATTATCTTTCTTTCTATAGCATATTCTAGACACAAAGGCAATTCAGAGCACTTTACATGAGCATAAATGTAGTAAACAAAACAGAAAAAAGGCAATTCATGAAATAGTAATTTAAAAAATGGTAGATTTAAGGGGTTTAAGAGGTGTAAAAGTATAACAATATTAAATATTAATAAATATTAAATTACCACAGACAAAGCGGTGGCAAACAGAAAAGTTTTAAGTGGTTAGGGGGCGAATAATAAATTAAAAAAAACATTAAAACTTTTCAATTAGGGAAAATAATTCCATAGATAGATCAAGATAATTAAATTTAAATTAAAATATAAATTATATAATAAGTTAATTTATATAAATATATGATAAATTATGTGCCCTAAAAAATTGCAATAATATAATAATTTTATAGATAAATTAAAATAATTAAAATGTAAAATAAAATACAGTTATGTAAAACAATTACAAGTAGAGGGTGGGAGGTTTAGGATCAAAGTTTGAAAAGGTTTAAGTGAATTTATTTTCAGGAGTCAGTTGCACTGAAATTAAAAGCAGGTTTTCAGACCCCTGAGACACTGAACTGTGATTGTTTTAATTACATTCACATTTTTTCATATAAAATGTGCTGCTATATATAAACAAAGGTGTTTGTTGTTAATACCATGCATGCACTGATGTCTTCATATTAAAATGTCATAATATTATATTGTATTTTAACTAATTTGAACTGTTTTGTGATCTTCTCGTGTGTTTCTCCACCTCTGCAGGTAAAGCAGGAGAGCTGATTGACAGAGGGGACAACACATACGGAGGCAAGTTTGTGATCAATCCCAGCGGTGGTCTCATCTCTAAAGGACATCCTCTGGGCGCCACAGGTACGCTCAGCCTCTGACTCTTGATTAAGCCTCTTGATATTTACTGGAGGTCAAAGCACACAATACATAATCCGGTCTGGTAGGAAGTGAAAATGCCAGATCAAAGTGTCAAAGTGTTAGCTGCTATTTCTTTGATCTTGTCTGAAGCAGCAGATGCATTGAACTGTCTATAAAGAAGATACTGCCGAACAGCTTCCACAGTGGCCACTAGATGGCGGCATGTGTCACATAGTGATGGCCACCAGGATTGTAACTGCGTAAAGCTGCATGTGAGAGGGCAGCAGGCTGTGGCTTTGGCAAACCTCCCCTGTAATCTCTGCACATGTTAAACTCTTGAGGTATGAGGCTGAGCGAACGCTGCAGCTGACTCACCCAGCCTCTGCAACAGCAGCCCTCATCTTCATCTTCCATCTTTCATATTACACAAAGTCATACCTGCTTAATGGATGAGTTCACCAAAAAAAAATCAAAAAACATATTTTTCCAACAGCAATGTCACTTTCCATAAATCATGACCTGGTTACTCAAGATTATCCACAGACCTTGTTGTGAGCAGCTTCATACAGGTACTATTAAGAATAAAAATGAATTTCGTTAATTTGTGACATTAACGTCTGTTCAGTCTCCTCTTCACCCCATTGTGAACGAGATTGTGTGATTCGCTGGGATGGTGCGAGGGGACAGTATGTGATGACTTAAAAAGCATTGTCTTACAACCCTAGCCGGGTTGTTAATCAGCCGGGTCTCCCCAAGCTGAATCCTGAATCCTGAAGAGATTAAAGACATCTGGAGCCTTGGAGGATCTCAAGTGAACTTTCTACCTCTTTTGGCACCCGGATGTTCGGAGGGAGTGTCCCTCATGTCCAGAGTAATCTTGGGGGCAGGGTCGTAAACATTTGACTGTCCTTGTGGCTTCTCTATTTACTTGTAATCCAGGATCTGGAGAGTTTAGAATACTGGTGTTCCTACAATCAGTTACTTGCTATGTGTTAGCTTGAAGTTGTGAAGAAAACAGTTTTTTCTCGCTTGCCTCCACCGTGAAAGAAGAATCCAAAAAAGGCGAACATTGTTCATGTATTAAAGTAAATGGGCTCCACATTTAACGACAGTAAAACTATCTGTTTAGAAACTCTCACACAACCCGTGCAACACATGCATTTCCGCTAAAACATCACAAGAAGCCCTCCTGCCAACTTTTTCCTTCATTTAACAAGGATCATTAGATTTGTCACTTTCAGATTGTGGTTTTTCTTTGATTAATAATCTTCCTTGTCTTCATTTCTCTCTCCGTCTGCCTTCCGTCCTTTGTTCCGAAGGATCTCAAACATCGCTCCATCCTCCTCATTATTTTTGCAGTTACTTTCCCCATTCATGTCACCAGTACTCCTTCTGTCTCCTGGGTCACTCTCCTGTGCCCCAGTCAGTGCTAAGCTGTCTGATCCCTGGTGTTGCTCCTAATCTTGATTGTGACCTCTCCACTCGGGAACGCTGTGAGCACAGATATTGATGGCTAATTCCCTGAGTCACGCAGGGACCCTATTGCAGGAGGGGATGTGACTCATTTCAGGAGGAAGTGACATGGCATTTAGGGGTATTGAAGTGTCATCGATGCGCAGCTTGGTGCATGCGTTGACTTATCACATGCCTTTACCCTTCAGAATTCAAAAGGCTGAAAAGACATGTTATTATTGAAAGAGCATTTGTAATCTTCTCTCTGTAGAAGAACTCACTTGAGGACGATTAATGAGAGAATTCTGAACGTTCCTTCTAATATGTCTGACGTGATATCCAGACACTATTTATTCTGACAGATAGCCAAGCCTTCAGTTTATTCTCCAGTTGGCATTTAGGCAAGAATTGTACTGACACAAACAGGTCCTCGTGGAGAAGATTAGGAGAGCGCTGCAGAATGTGAAAGACGCACCATGAGGAGGTCTTTGCCCTTAAGTCCTTTAGCTTATTGGGATAATGGAGAAATGCAAAAGCTCATTTAGCAGATGGGATGAAATACTTAGCCATAACGCTAACACAGGAGCTGTCCCTGCCGAGATTAGGGAGTTGTCAGATTAAGGGTCAACTTGTCACCCGTCTCAGTGAAGATATTGTGTTTAACTCGTGCAGAATGCTTCAGTGTCTTCACCTTGAGGCCGAGACATGACGGGATTGGAGCCATTCTCAGTGTTGGTGCTTTATTAATATTCAAAATCACTCTGGTTCCTCACTGAAAATAGTTCTTGTAATTACTATTTTTTTATTCATTTAACTCCTTCACTATAAGGTTTATCAAGACATGCCACACTGATGGTTGATATAGAGAAATGAGAAACATAAATGCACTCTTAGTGAATGAAAATAAACATGTAGTTTAAGAGTGAACATGTGTTTAATCCCAATCTTATCCAGCAGAAAATAAATCAAACCGTCATATTATGCATTGGATGAGTTCAGTTTTTCAATGACTTTAAATATAAACCATATATCAAAAATACCTCTTAAATAATCAAACATGCGACTCACTCGACTGAATGTACTGAATCAACTCTGCTTCTTCTCATGTCTTTCTTCATGTTGTAAATATGGAAAATGCAGCGCTTCAAGTGAGCCAATCATCAAGTTGCTACTGCTGGTGTTTTCCTAGGTAGCTCGTCAATTAAGGATGTCCTCATTCTGTGCAATCAGTGCGATTCTTGCTGTGTTTTGTCATCAGTCATTTTGCTAGTATGTGAGAAACACTGAAGACGAGTCTCCGCACTTAAGTCAGCAGGACACAACCTCTCAGCTGAGCATATAGAGCATGTGGGCAGGGGGGCTGATGCAGACAGATAGATGTGTCATCATGCTCGCATTGTTTTGAATCGGAGGCTCGTGGATGTAAATTGTACATGCATAGTGAATTGCAACTTGTTAATCATCATCATCAACTATTTTATTGGAATCTTTCATTAGAAATTAATATGATAAAGAAGCCGGCTGGACTTGAATGAGTAGTAGGCTGTTTGGCCGGCAGCTGGCGCTTATAGAAAGCTCTAATCCCTCAGAAAAAAATGTACTGTAGAAAGGTGTCTGTCACTTGTCCTTTTTTCGCTCCCTGTGTTTTATGAAAAAGGAAAATTGAGAGGCCTTTTGTTCAGTGCGACAAATGTAGCTTAAAACAAATGACAGTACTTCCACTGATGCAGCGTACAATGTGTATTTTTTTTTTCTTGGAACTCCATTTCAGAGTTAAAATCGAAATAGTTCCTGATAATGACACCTGAGCTTCTTCACTTGTTTCTGTCTTTCTCACTTGTGTGAGCATACATTGTCAGCCATTTACACTTTAAATTACACCACATCCACCTCTATGTGTCACGCCACTCTCACCCTCTTTTCCTTCTCCTCCTCTCTGTGCTCTCTCAGGTTTGGCCCAGTGTGCAGAGCTGTGCTGGCAGCTCCGAGGGCAGGCCGGCAAGAGGCAGGTCCCGGCGGCCAAAGTGGCCCTGCAACACAACATTGGCTTAGGAGGAGCTGTGGTCGTCACTCTCTACAGGCTGGGATTCCCTCAGAAGGCCAGGTGAGGAAGTAGTTAGCAACGATTTGTCAGTAGTTTGGTTATAGTGATGTTGATAGGTTTCTAGCGTAGTGAGTCCCAGGGACCCACTGGTGATTACTTTTAGTGGGGCCGCAATAAAGTTGTGTGTGAGAAAGAATAGTATCAGTAACATTGTTAACACTGTGCTACATTACAGAGAAATACAAAACCGTACTAATGAACCTTCATTAATATAGGCCTATATTTTATCTACAAGTGCACGTCACACACTGAGCGAGCCGCCTGTTAATGACGGGGCAATGATGGTGGGTAATGATTGTGCTAAGTGGCTAATGGGCATGTAGCTACTTCCATGTTTCAGATGATACGTCATGTTCGTAGTCGACCAATGAAGATGAGTTTACATATCACCTTGGGTTCGTCCTTCACCTTCTCAAAATGATCCCACACTTTGGATTTCCTGCCCGACATGTTATTAACTAGCCTGTGGAATAACCGCAGGTACCAGCCCTGGAAATTAGAGGCCGCACACATGCCGCATCTTTAACCGCCTGGAAAACACAAGGTCGGATGCTGGGCACTATTCTTGTGCCGTTTTTTTGCCAGCTTTCAAGAGTGCGGCTAAGCAACCCTGACAAGGCCTATAGCCTATTTACCTGAAATCCTGAGTGCAGAGCTGATCTTCTTCCAGGCACTGTTTATAAGTGTGTAGACCCTTATTTTTTATAATTTATCAGACTGAATATATACAAAAGAAGGGAAAGATATCTTGTCGGCTGTGATTGGTGTGTAACATGACTCCTGTTTCTCTTCCTGTGTCTGTCCTTTCAAATTAAATTCCCCCATGGTCCAGTCATATAGGATTTGATTTATTTTGACAAGGCACAGCTCCTAATAGAGATTCACGCTTATTTTTTTATTTTTTTCTGCGACTAAGCGACCAATGAAATTTTGCCAGCTAATGACCTTTCTGGTCGACTAATGTTTGGTTGACTATTAGGAGGCAGATAGTAAAGCAAACTCCTTTTAGATTTTTAATGGGTCAAGGATGCAGGGCGCACACCTAGCAACATCACTACAGTGAGATACTTGTAGTGTATATTTTCTAAGTGACCAGTTTTTCAGGCTCGTAAAAGCAGGCAATTTGCTGCAGATTAAAACAGCAGAGGCGTGAGTCATAATAGATCTGTTTCTATATTCTGTAACGGTTCTTCTTTTAATTATTAGGCCTTGTGCTGCAGATACAGTATATTGCTTTATCCAATGTTCCCATTCTGCAACATAATATGTAGATTGAAATTTGTACTGCCTCACATGTCATTTGATCAAGGTGAAGCCTCATACAGCTGAAGTCTTTTTTTCCTCACATGGTGTTTAGTTTGTATGAAGCTGTGTTTTTCTCCTTCCCACAGCTCCCACATCAGGGCAGTTCCCACCAGCTCAGCCAGTGGTCTGGAGCGGTTTAAAGCTTACTCTGTCTTCAAAGAGATAGAAAAACGTCTACAGGAGGTACAGCACACTTTGTATCCAATTAAATCTGTCCGTTTTCTTGGTTCCCTTGTCTTCCTCTCAGTCTACTGATCATTCCATATCACGCAAATGCAAAAATGAGCCCAGAGTAGGTGTTCATTAGTGTTCCATGGAACCATCAAAGAAAAATTAAAGCGATTGTGAGGCTATCATCTTTTCTTTGTAAAGGCAGCGAGCGATGTACCGTGTTTAGATGCTTTAATTGTAAAGCAACACACAGTATGAAAAAGCAGACTGCAGTTTCAGGGCCATATAGCAAACACACTTAAAGCCACAGCAGCTTATAAGTACAGTGATAGTGACCTTCATGGCCACCAATAACACACTGTTGTCAACATTGTCCATTATTTTGTGCAGGCATAATATGTACTGCTACAAGAAAATAACAACATCAATGTCATCTCTATTTGCAGAGCACTGCTTTGGAAACACAGTGATTCACAACTCCGTATTAAAAACATGAACTCTGTTAGTGCAGCACTGACAACATACATTAGTTGAATGTTATTGGGTTTTGTATTACCTGAAAACATGGTCAGCAGGAGCTTTATATCGAGTTCAGGGCTTACAGTTGTGCTTTGATGCATCAGAGGAGATCAGGTGAACCAGTTCTTTATGTGCAGGCTGTTACCATGGGGCTTTTTTTTTTGTATAATGTACAGTCATTGAAAGATAGGCACACTTTGTCACAAAGAACACACAGGCTGTGTTGGACTATACTCATTTATGTTTGCATGCCTGTAGTTTTAAGGGACAGTTCACTCCAAAATCAAAACTACATTGGAGATATTTTGGCCGTAGAGATATCTGCATTTTCTCCAGTGTAGTGGAATTAGATGGCACTCGGCTTGTGATTCCCTAAAAGCGCTTAGAAAAATAAATTTGAATTTTTTTTTTATGGTGATTGAAATACACCTTTGCTAACTTTGTCAGTAGTTTTAGATTTTATTTTAATCTTTAGGCACACATGCTTATTAGTTTTTGTCACATTTTAGTCATTTTTATCCTGCGTAAATCAAGTTATTAATTGTATTCAACTTTTAGTCTTAGTTTCTCCAGCAGCTTTTGATGGGTTCCAGGATGATTTATGTGCACACATTTAATGGATTATCATTTGAAAAGCTCAAAATCTCTTCAACAAATAGTGTATTTTTTCAAGGTTATATTTATTGGGTTGAGGATCATAACAATACAAAACTAGAAAAGCACTCGGAGAGCGCAGACCTCCGCCAAGCAGCTTGGATTTCAATCAGTCAATCAATCAATCAATTTTATTTATAAAGCCCAATATCACAAATCACAATTTGCCTCATGGGGCTTTACAGCATACGACATCCCTCTGTCCTTTGGACCCTCGCAGCGGCTAAGGAAAAACTCCCCAAAAAAACCCCGTTAATGGGGGAAAAACGGTAGAAACCTCAGGAAGAGCAACTGAGGAGGGATCCCTCTTCCAGGACGGACAGACGTGCGCAAAAGAAGTCATACAGAACACATCAACATAATAAATTAACAGTAATCCGTATGACACAATGAGACAAAAACAGAGACAGAGAGAGATGCAGGACAGACGATAATGTTAATAGCTTACAACAACATTAATGAAAGTAATACTATTATAATTATGATTCTGGCTATTGTGGTAAATTACGATAAGTATATATTAACATCTGATAGTATACATATGTGACAGTAATCTTATGTGTATAATAACAGTTGAAGTATGACTAATGATGGCAGCAGCAGCAGGAGGCATCTGGCAGGAGAGAGAGAGAGATTAATTACACACAGGTCCGACTCCGAACACACACATGCACAAACTTGCCCTATACATGCACTAAGTGGAGAGATGTCAGAGTGGGCTGCCCATGGACAGGCGCTCCGAGCAGTTGGGCTGCCTTGCTCAGGGGCACAGCGGGTGAACTGGCACCTCTCCAGCTACCAGTCCACGCTCCTGACACTGTTACTTGTCCCATTATCAACCTTTCCTGAAAATTTCATCAAAATCCGTTCAGAACTTCTTGAATTATTTTGCAGACAAACAAACAAACAAACAGACCAACTCCTTGGCGGAGGTAATAAAGGGCATTGAAGATATACATCTCTTTATATACATTCTCTTTTCCAACTTATTCCCTAACTAAAACAGAAAACATTCTCCACACACAAAACAAACAAAAAAAAAGTAGCATATTGAGCACATAAACCTACATGGAAACGTGTTTCAAGATCTCAGTCCACGCTAGTTCATACAGTCCGTTCCTAAGGGCCAGGCCCCATCATTTCCAATAAAGTCCAAAAAAGGGTCCCAGATGTGAAAAAACTTGAATGGCTCCATGGTTCCATAGTGCTCCAGATCCAATATGAACCCACAGGAACAGTATCTGAAATCCACTGAAGAAGAACACACCTCCTAGCACTAACAAGAAGCACCTTGAGCAGCTTCAGTCAAGAGGGGCTAAAGTTCCGTTGTTTTTTTTTTTTACTAAAAAATCAATTTCTTTACACATTTTGACCCAGAAGTTATTAATAAGGGCACCACTGCACCCAACAAACTCCACAAATCCATCCATCAGCTCCACCATCCACAGTCAGACACATGCGGCTGCTTATTTACTGCTGAATTACAGCTCAAAACTCATGCTAACGACTGACGCAGCTCCATTGTGAGTGTTTTGCAAGCTGGCGAAACACCCTGGAGCCGGCTGTTTACTGCAGTTGACCTGTCTGTGCTCCGAGCTCATACTGCTCATACAGCATGTGAAAATAACTACAAGCACAACAATTCTCGGCTTCCTAGTTTGAAGCATTTTTGTAATGCGTTTCATAAAACAATTTATCATTCTGTTCTCCTCTTGTCTCATTTTGAATGTCTGATAGCCCACCACTAACATTTTAGTTTTGTGTCGTTAGAGAGAACGAAACGTACATTTTGTCATAGTTTTCATTATGAGAGATGGATTTTTAGCTTGTCTATGTCCCATCTTCATCATGGAAAAAAGGTTGACAAATTTTATCGTTATAGAATTTGTTAATGAAATTAATACTGAACTACACCCGCCAACCGTATCACCACGCAGATGGAAGACTCATGTACTCTTGGATGAGAGGCATGTGCTCAGGACAGAGTGGGTTGTAAACATTAATGGCGTCCACCCCAGCTAGTAGTAGATCTGCGCTTCCTCCTCCAAGGTTACATGATTGGCAGGTGTAGTTTGGTAGTGAGAAAATACTTTCTTCTTAAAACTGCTCACAACAAGGTCTGTGGATTATCTTGAGTAACCGGGTCATGATTTCTGGAGAGACATTGCTGTTGAGTTTTTTAAATGTATTTTTTGGCACTGAGTTCCACAAGCTGAGTGTCATCTAGTTCCATTATATTGGAGAGAAGACAGACATCTCTACGGCTGATATCTCCAACACTCTGCAACTCACACTAAAACAATCTACACTGAAACACAGCACTACAGGTAGAAGAAAAAAATGTGTTTTTGATTTTGGGGTGAACTGTCAGTCACTTTAAGGCAGTGTTGAATCCATAAGCAGCTATTTATTTTAACTTCCATGGACCATCTCAGAACCATTTGAGCCTGTGATATGTCATTGATCATCAGTTTAACCTGCGTCTTGGTGGCTGATGCTGCAGTTGTTGGTGCAGAGGAGAGCTACCGTACATTAATGATGCGTAGGAGGAGTGGTAACTTGGAAAGCTTGCTGTAGGACCGCCGAAAAGCCTGGAAGCCTCAGATGGCAGAACTGTATATGTGGAGTATATATCATATTGATTTAAATTCTACTCACTCCCACGTGTCCAGTGCCCACTCCTCTCCTGCACTTTACTTTGTGACACAGAATAATAACTGTGCTGCTCTCGGGTGGATTACTAGAATCAGTGGCTCTGAACAGCTGCAGACAAAGTCAATTTGATTGGTGGTTTCAAGTGTTGGTCATATTTCTTAAGAGCAGACATGATTTGATGACCCACTGCTTGTTCCTGCCAAATATTGTCCGGGTTGTTTGAAGATGTTTCTGTCAGAATTGAACACTGAAAGGAGCTAAAATGTGTGTGGTTCTTAAAAATTGGGTGATTGTGTTCACAGAATATTTTAGAGATGGGTTTTGGCAGAGACTCTCACTTTATTGTGTGAATACACGGTAAGACATGAAAGGCGTGTGATTATTTTGCACCAGAAAGAAAAAACACGCTGCCCCCTTCTTCACTGAAATGACTGGGTGAAGAGATGAACCTTTGTTACATTCAAACCCTTGCCAACGGAGTTCACACTATGCTGCTTAAGCCTGTCGCTGCCAGGAAAAGCTGTCTGTATTTTGCAGTAGGCTTGGTTTTGGTGTCTAGTGACTGTGGCGTCTTTGCCGTGAGGGTGCAGCAGAAGTGTTCAGTTTAACGTCAGTCAGCCAGAGCTTAAGGCCTTTGCACGCTGAGTCCGAAACTTTTGTCCATCATTAAGTTTCTGCGTTTTTCACATCCGTCAGAGCCTTTAGAGACGTTTGACCAAGAATCAATGAAGAAAATGTGGCGAACAAATCATTTCATGACTCAGGCAGCTCACTTTCAACAGGTCAGATAGTAATATTCAGGTGGGTGATGATGAAGAGGGGGAGGATATGGACCACACACACAACGTGGAGGACAGCTCCATCTCTTCATGCAGTTGCGGTGCCAAATGAAAGATAGGGAGGGAGTGGTGACAGCCAGATAGGTAACTCCAGAGAGAAGTGCCTTTTCATTTTGTCATGTGAATTGTGAATTTTCACAATGAATAGAACAATAAAATGCATCGGAATCAGTGTGCTAGGTTTCTTTGCGTAACGTTCTTTTTTCAGATGATGGATTAAAAAAACGCACCGGAAATAGAAACGGAAACAGTGTGCAAAGGCCTCAAAGGCAGCAGGAAGGGATCAAAGAGATGGAGCAATCCAGGAGTATAGCTGTGGATGGAAAATCCTTAGAAGCAATTCAGGAAAGTTTCTCAAATGGATGCTCCAGGTCAAAAAGAAGCTTGGCATTTGGAGGAAGGATAGAAGTATAAAAAAAATAAAAATAAAAAAAAACACTTAAAGAAAAGTGCTCCTGAAGGCAGGGAAGATGCTGCGAGCTCACCTGCAGGCATACATCATGAGCACACATCGACAGTGTTTGTGTAATTACGCTGACTTACAGAGGGGTCAGACAATGTTCCGCTCTCCAGCTTCAATTACAAAACCATACGACACTGATTTAAATTCTTCAAGTGGTGCTGTCTACAGCCGCAGTATGCCAACTCAAAAGCCTTCTTGACTTCTTGCAGGAAGGAGAGCAACTTGTCAAGAAGATTGGTGGAGTGTTTGCCTTTAAAGTGAAGGATGGACCAGATGGGAAAGAGGCGACTTGGGTCGTAGATGTGAAAAGCGGCAAAGGTTCTGTCACCAACGACACAGGTACGTATCCCAATGGAGGTGTTTAATTCTGCTGTCAGTGATAAATAACACTTATTTAGTGTTTTTGTTGCAGCAGTCTTATTTTAAAATGCATTTTTATGGACTTAGTGGCATATAGAACTTCTCGTGTGTGCCAACAGTGCAGGAGAACTATAGTGGCTGATGCAAAAACATGAATGGCCCTATCTAGAGCCAGTGTTTGGTTTGTCCAATCATAGCTACTTAAAGCCCCTTTTATGCTGCCTGCTCAAGGTGGGAATGTCATGCCAATATTCCTCCTCCTTGTTCTGTATAAAAGGTACGATCACACAATGGGGGGACAGAGTTGTCTCGCCTTTAGCCAACAATGGGGGTAGTAACAGCACTGAGATGGGGATAGCCGGCAGGACAGGACCATGGTGGGAGGGACTGGTGTGATGTTTTGACAATGTGTTATGTGTGCAACCCAATGCAGGAGATTTAAAAAACAGCTAATAGCAGTTAGCAGCTAACTCAAAGAAGAAGAACAGCAGTTGAAAATGTCAGCAAACTGGGAAGAAATTGAGGTTCAGGAGCACTTAACTCTTCGAGCAGAAGTTGAGATCGGCCGCCATATAACAGGGATGATAATAGATGATCACGTTATGCCCCAGTTATTGTTTAGAAAGTGCTGCTGATGCATATGTCATATGTCAAACTTGGAGACTGACCCTGTTGTGTTGCACATCACGCCTCTTTTGTTTCTGGAACGCCTGCATGCTATGTAATCTCACACAGGGTGATGCATGTATCGTTTGGTTATGTATAAAAAAAGCAAAGGTAGCTTAACGAAGGGACTTTGTAGTGGCCCTATTGTGGGGATCAATGTATAAAAAGGGTTTTAGTAACAACATGGCTGACTATTTGGAGGACCCGCTCCTTATGTACATAGAAAAAGCTCATTCTCAGGTAAAGAAAGCACAATGATTCTTATTTTCAGGTGATTAGAAACTAATGAAAACATACTTACGAATATTACATTTTATGTATGTCATTATATCCATCCTAAATCCAACACACTGGAACTTTAAAGTGTACTTCCATCCTGGGTTTTACTCTCCAACTTTTTGCCTCTTTTGTGTTGTATTGTGTTCAATACAATGATTCACAGAAATATTGCTTTTAAGTCACAATAAGAATTCTGTGGCTGATTTTCCCTCAGTAAGACTTCTTTCTCTCAGCCCATTTCCACACACCTACCTCTTTAGCAGCACTTTGTACAGGCACCAACATGTGACATTTATGGCTTTCTCTTTTTTCGAGAGAACACCCACACATCTGTGTATCACATCCCTTGCTGTGATGATCATAGTCTGTGGTGTTGAAGTAAAACATGTTCCAAACAGGCCGTAGAAACTATTAAATAAATACATTTATTCCCACAGATTAGTGTTGTCAAAAATATCAATCTATTGCTACATTTTGATTCTGAATATTTAAAACCAGTTCAATACTCATTTTCCGCAGTATCGATACACCAGTACCAGCTGGGCTTTAGATTAAACAGAAGAGCAGCTCTGTGTCTCTCTTAGTGTTGTTGGAGAACTTGTGCGTGGAGGAGTATGGTATGGATGTAAACGGTATAGTTTAAATTAATATCTTGCTCAAAAACATATCAGTATATCGTACATAGTCATTATATCGTTCAGCTCTACTGCTCGCTAGCTGCTAAATAATTAACCTCGGCGGCTTCTAGATACTTACAGTTGGGCAGCATACCTCACATAAATCCTGGTTTAGAAAACTTTGAACCAAGATTTAAACTTAAAATTGAAAAAATCTTCACCTCCTGTAGTGCTGTCTTCATTTTAAAAATATTATTGAAAGGATGATATTTAGTTGTTTTTGTGGCTTCAGATGTCAGAGATTGTTTCGGCTGTCTACCTGTGTATCAGATAGGTGCAATCCTAGTGAATTATCAGTCAATCAAGATACACACAGAAGCACAACCACCCTCTCATAAATAGACTCCTGACTGTTTCCATTAGGCTGCACCCCCTCCTGATGTTCTCTGGATCTAAGCCATTATTTCTGAGGTAACCGTTGCCTCTTCATCTAACTCATTGTTCAGGAAGTGGAAAGAAAATCTTCAGGGATGTCGTCAGATGCTCTGATAAATTCATCCTGATTCTTTTTGCCTTTATTGTATGACAGTTATGCCTTTGTATTTGGTGAGGGAGAGATTTTAGTGCCAGGCCATGTAGCTCTTGAAAGAAGAAATAACATCCTCTTTCAAATCAAAAACTCTGTGCAGGAGAAATGAAAAAACTCTTGTTTGAAAATGTTTTCCTGCTACAGCCTCACTTGGTCTGCTATGACCAGCAGCTCAACTGATCTTGTCTTTTAGCAAACTTTCTGTGTTCCCAACAGTACTGAGTCAGTTTGCCGATTATATTACTCTTCTCTGCCTTTGCTAACGTTACAGTGCATTTTAGCATATCGCAGGTAAACAGTAGTTTAATAACAGAAGTAAATGCAGATGTATTTGATGTTTTATGTAGTTGTGAGGCCCTGTAAAAGAGTAGGGCCTCTAGTTTCGCAGACCGGGCGAGGCGGAGGCGCAGCGCACCTGTACCGTACCACAACTGTAAGTCAATGTTGCGTTTCTCTCGTACGCGCGCGCTCTCTCTCTTTCTCTCTCGCAGTCTCACTCTGTTTCTTTTCTTTTGACTTTTCTAAGATGACAGATGCTGAATATATACTCCCTATCTGATGCTGTGGCTGTTTGTGGTTGGCTGAGAGGGATGTGAACTCATTAGTTTGCAGCTATGTTAATCAAATCAGGTTGGGTTTCCATTATGCGTGCCAAACGTGCCAAACGGTGCCAATCCCCTTTGATCTGACATCAGATGTGACAGGACAGTCGATATAGAGATACATTTATGTGCTGATTGCAGATAGTTGCATTGAATAGTGGTTTTTGTGGGAATTTATTGCATCGTTAATGTGCCTGACATTCTGGAGACCTGCCTGTGAGGTTTTGGTGACGTGTGCGCACTGTCCGCCAGTCAGCGAAACTGCCACTACACCGGCTGCTCTCCGCCTGCACTGACAGTAGACCTGGTTTCAGCTGGCAAGCTTTTAGCGCACCTTCGGCGAAGCCTTTTGGCACGAAACTGTCACTGCTCCAAGCTGGATCTGTCGACACCTTGCCCTGCTGCGCCACCACACCCATCTCAGCGCACCTCGGTCTGCCAAACTACCAAACTGAGCGCGCCTCGGGTTGCACTGCTGGAAACTAGCTCTGTGCAGGGTTTGCCACCCTGCGCCGTGCCGGGAAACTAGAGGCCTATGGCACCAAATTTCCTCGGAAAGGAACAAGAAAGAATCCGTCCATTTGTCCATACATACCTACATAAACAGATACATAAATAACAGGAGTAAACACACTGTACTTCAGGTCTGCTAACGATGATGTCTCTAAAGAAACTGTCTCAGGAGAATCTTAGAAAACGAAGGGAAATGTGGTGCCATCCTGTAATTAGAACACCTATTAAGCAAACTCATTCATTCATTCATTTTCCGTGACCCCTTATCCTGTTGGGGGTCACGGGTGTACTGAACACACAGCTGAATAAGGCGAGAGGCAGGGTACACTCTGGACAGGTCACCAGACTATCACAGGGCTGACACAAAAGCCCTTTTTAGATAGGAATTGTACACATTTGCAGGAAAGCCCAATCAGTCTTTTTTTCAGCATTGGCAGTATAAAAACAAAATTGGGGAGTGCGGCAAAATGGGGGGCGTGAGCAAGTAACAAAACGTGTAGCTCAGCGTGTGACGTAAACAGTGACATACTCAGAGGAAAGCCGCGGCTGGTCAGTTCTTTGGCGATTCTCTCGTAAGTTGGCCCGTCTTTCACCGTCCCTGTCATCTGATGGTTAATGGCCTCTTTGTTTGTGAGGGCAAGGAGGCTGCATAATTCCTTGTCTCCTCAGTTGCTCATTTTTACTGTGTCCGTCAGGTTTGTGTTTCCCTCTTGCTACTAGCTGCTCACTAATTCCTGCTATCAGCTGTTTCCTGTTTATCCACCACCAGTGGGTCGCACGTGCCGCGTCATCAACAGCTCCTCCCACAAGTCTTCAACAGCCCCTCCTGTTGCGGAAGGCCGCCTCGGTCTGTTTAAACCAAAAAAGTTCCGCCAATATGACTACTCTACGGGGCAGAAAATTGGGCACCTCGGATCAACTCGCCAATCCAGCTCTGTGCGTCTAAATGCTCGCAGCTTGCCGGCAAAACGGCCCAACATTTGTGGAAAATCTGGCAGTGTAAAAGGGGCTATAGGGACAGACAACCATTTACACTCACATTCACACCTACGGACAATTTAGAGTCACCAGTCAACCTGCATATATTTGGACAGTGGGAGGAAGCTGGAGTACCTGGAGAAAACCCATGCAGACACGGGCAATGCATGCAAACTCCACACAGAAGGGCTCCCCCACCCTGAGGTCCCATTAAGCAAACTAAAGGTCAAAATTTGATTTTTTTTACACAATCAAACCATGTGTCTGTTTTTCCAGTCGAAAGAAATGATTTAGTAAGTTAAAGCGTCTTTATCTCCTTTACTGCGGCATATTTTCCAGTGAAGTGGAATATTTTAGCTGAGTACAGTTACGAGACTGATTTAAAAAAATTGTTTTCATTTGATTGGACTGCTAAAATGTGGGCAAACTTAGAGTTAAGCGCAATACAGAGCTACAGTGGCATCTGCTGCTGAGTAGGCACCACACACACCTCCCTTGTCGTTAGATGAGGAGGAGGACGAGGGAGAGATGAATGAATCAAGCCTTTGCCACATTGTTCTGGAAATGAAAACAAAAGTTTTGGCAACTGATTCCCAAACACACACATTTTATTTATTTACTTACCTTTATTTAACCAAGAAGTCCCATTGAGATTGAAAATCTCTTTTAGAAGCGAGACCTGGCTGAGGTAGGAGCCAATAGGAACACATTTAAAATGCAACAATTTCAACATATAATACAAAAACCCACAATAAAACAAAAGCTATTCAAACATAGTGGCCTCTCAAGAGATCTGGGGTACATTAAAAAGCAATCACTTGGAGGAGCGTAGCTGGTAACTACCAGAGCTGACACACAGAAGGGAGCAGAGGTAGGCAGAAAGTTTGCAGAAAGTTTGCCCAGTATTGCTTCATAGTTAAAAATATACCAGTGTTGTTGTCTGCAAGTGGTCAATGACGTCCAACCCACCCTTCCTATCTCTCTCCATATTTCTCTGATGGCCAGTCACAATCCACTAATGGTGAATTCAAGGTTTATGTGACCGGTCGCCCAAAGTTTCATTTGATCGGATGAACTTTTGTTCGCATGTGAGTCATTAAAGGGGCAAAAAGCGAAATTGTTTCACCGCTAGGTTTGCTATTGTGCACTGCCTGTAGACCAAAACAAAGTGTGTCATGAGCCACTCCTCCCTCTAGCTCTGCTCTCCAGGGGCCAAGGGCTCCAAGGGCGGGGGGGGGATTCACATGAACATACATGAATGCGCAGCAGGACCGGCTTGTAAACAATGGGATGGAGATCAACACAGAGAGAGGGTGTGTGAGGTCATGCTATACTCCAGATGAAATTACACCTCTAGTTCTTCACATAGCAATTTTTTAATTCCTTCAATCTAGAAATGATGACTTTTGCTTATTGCTCCTTTAAACATTTGAAATAGCTGAAAAGACAGGGGTTTTGCTGTAAAAACACTCTAGTACTGGTCTGATTTTTTTACACCTACTTAGCATATAGCAAGAGATAAATTATTAAGTAACAGAGGGGACAGGATTAAAACTAGGAAAATGTATTTCTCATTTCATGGGAACGTAAAAGCACCGTGACTCGTTGCGTCACAGTGTGCTACGCTTCATTACAGGCGATATGTTTCACACTCATTGTTGCATCTTATATGACAAAGTTGGGTCCTCCTTAGCTAAGAGAAGGGAGCAGCATTGTATGTAGTTTATCTATAAGGCCCTTCTGTACTACCTGGTTACCTCCGCTCTCTGGTTGCATTTCAATGGGGTACTTACAATGTTAGGTCTCAGGATATCTTAACATAAGCTGTGCCCCTCGTTCACTCTTAACTTTGAAAGCGTGGCTTCAAAAATTAAGCTGTGACAATTGGACTGAGCTCCAAAACAAGATTACCTGTTAAACAAAGGAAGAAATTAATGTTAAAAATCCTCTAATTGCCACTTGTGGCCCCCACAGTGGGCGCTCTTAAGGGAAAGTTACATAATCTCACTTTAAAAGGGTTATTATTAAAAAGTTTATAATGACAGTGTATCAAGGAAAACTTGCTTTTTTCGTTCCAGCTATGGACCAACTACCCGGAAACCCATTCCATGCTGGTGGAAAAGTTTTCATAGTATCGTTGTCTGTCACAGCAGGCTGCAGTTTTCAGTGGAAAGGCTCTAAAACACCACCAAACATAACTCTGCAGCTCATACTGAGTTATAAAACTTGCAAAGGTCACTTTCTGTTTAGATCATGTCAAAGAGGCAAATATAACTGTTCAGGCAACTGTTCAGTGACAACAGAGAATTCACCTCACACACATATACGTAACATTTCTATCGGGGAAAAAAAACATGTTTTCATCTGATTTCACTAGTTGATGCCTTTTTAATGTTGATGGAAAAAGATTTTATTCTGCTTTAATAGACGGATTGTGGCCTTCAGAAATTAGTCCTGAAAAGCAGCACAACACGTCCACTTTTCATAATGCTTTCTGAATCCTTGCTCTAGTGAAAGAAACTGTATTTTACTTTTGTGCCTCACACACTTTTTTTTATACATATACTAGAGGAGTATTTCATCCAAATGCCAAGTCTACTCTGAAGTGCTTTTATTTAGAGAACTCTAAGAATGGTAACTAACATTTGTTTTTTTTTCTTCTTGCATCTTCTGAGCACATGGAGGATATTTTTTCTTAATGAGGGCATAAAGAGCAGCAAATGTGCATTTGTTTCTGTGTGTTAGACATTTTAATTCTGATGCATTTGATGTATTGTAATCAGTTATAATAAATGAGCCCCTTAATTTCTTTCTTGTAGGTAAAAAGGCAGACTGCACTTTGGCCATGAGTGACGAGGATCTTCGGGATCTGATGACAGGAAAGCTGAACGCACAAACGGTATGTATTATCCTTATTTATCTGTACTCAGGTGGGGATGAGCATATTCTGTACAAAATGATCTTATAAAGATTAATCATATAATAATCTAGATATAAGATAGGCAGTAGTAAAAGTCACATTTTGGTTCATATGGTTTAGGGTAGGTAGGAAGGTAGGTAGATAGGTTGATAGGTTGATAGGTAGGTAGGTAGGTAGGTAGGTAGGTAGGTAGGTAGATAGGAAGGTAGGTACATAGGTAGGAAAGTAGATAGATGGATAGGTAGGTAGGTAGATTGATAGATAGGTGGATAGGTAGGTAGGTAGGTAGGTAGGTTGATAGACAGATAGGTAGGTAGATAGGTAGGTAGTTAGATTGGTAGGTAGGTAGGTAGGTAGGTAGATAAGGTAGGTAGGTAGGTAGATAAGGTAGTTACGTACGTAGGTATGTATGTAGGTACGTACGTACGTAGGTAGGTAGGTAGGTAGATAGATAGGAAGGTAGGTACAGCGGTAGGTAGGTAGGTAGGTAGGTAGGAAGATTGGTACATCAGTAGGTAGGTAGGAAGGTAGGTACATAGGTAGGTAGGTAGATAAGGTAGGTACGTAGGTAGGTAGGTAGATAGGTAGGTAGGAAGGTAGGTACATCGGTAGGTAGGTAGGTAGATAGATAGGTGGATCTTTATTTTCTGCTTCTCTCAAACTTAGCAAAGGTACATACAGACACATAACACAAGTTATTTAGTATTTTAGTGACAGAGAAACTTTAGGGAGCTTAAAAAAAAGGTTCCCTTAACAGTGCGGGAAGTTGATTCTTAGACATGATACGGATGTTGACGATTCGTCATCAATTCACAAATGTCAATAAATGATTATCTAAATGTTTATGAATAAGGTAATGTTGATGGAAGATGCCTGGAGATTCCCATCCCTACCGCTCTCCTGTAAATATTAGTTTACAGAGGAACAACAGGCTCAATTATTGGCTGTAATTAAGTACTGTGTCACTTTATGATGCTTGAACATGTCTTGAGAAAGTTCAGTGTGACTGTAACGTCAACAGTTTTTGATAAATCAATGCAGTGGTGATTAGAGTGTGCAGGAAGTCCCTTTTTCTTTTAAATGTGGTTTTTGAAGGATTTGATTCCCTGCACTAAACACAAGACAATACAAATGATGTGCATGTTGCCTTCAACTCATCTATGTCAACACAAGACAATAAACTGTCTAGTACACCTAAAAGCCTCAGTCCTTGCTCTGTTTAATAACTTTCTGACACTCAGGGCAGAGAGGCATGGCAAAGTGTCATGCAGCCCTAGCAATCGGCCGAAATAGGACCAAACTGCACTACTTACAGAGTAGAAGGTAGTAAAAAACACTGGGCAGGATCAAAGACTAAGATTCAGAAAAGTGGTCAAATACAAGAAACTCAGGAAACAAAGTGGAGTGATGACAGAGTGGCTGAGACAAAGAGAATCACTCAGACTAATTAAACAACAGTGGAAGGGTAATGAGGGACAGGTGCAACTAATCAGGGTGGGATAGTTAATCACACAGGCGGGAGACACACAAGGGCATGGAATGACGTAAAAGAGAGACAAAAGTGCCAGGACCAGGATGTAACAAAGATAAATGAGCTCTGATTGGATTTTGGCAAGCATCACTTCTAGTATGTCATTAGATTTCTGTTTGTTAAAAAATGTCATGTTTTCTTTTTTAGTGTAGCAGAGATGCATCTTTCAGTCACAAACATTCTTGCAGTATAAGTGCATTTTGATGGAGTTTTAATCATTTTCCTCCTCACTCCTGTCCGCAGGCGTTCTTCAAAGGCAAACTGAAGATCACTGGGAACATGGGCATGGCCATGAAGCTTCAGACCCTCCAGATCACACCGGGCAAGGCAAAGCTGTGAGAACCTGTGCTAGCTTGTTTCCCTCTGAGCAACACTTCAAGGACGGATTTGTTAGGAAACTTAATTGAATTTTGCTAATCAACAAGCTCATTGAACACTTTTCATAATGTGCTTGATCTAAAGAGATGATCCATAAAGTTTTAATCCCAGCTGCTACGTTGATATCAGAGCACACTCAGTGCCAAGTACTTAGAGAATTTTTAATATCCTGTAATATGTTGTTTAATCTTGTTGACCCATCTTCTTCAAGTCTGATATAAATGCTGAAACATTCAGAGTCTTTAAGAGCCACTTGCTCATATGCAACATCAGTGCAATTTTCACAATATTCCAACACTGTATGTGCCTCTAATGTCCTGTCTGTCAAATTAAGCTTGTGGTTTAAAGCCGTTTAGGCCTCAACCATTTTGATACATCATTTTGTATAAAATATACATTTGTAAATGATAACAATTATCTAATTTTTTAAGAATAAATCCTTCACTGACAATAACAACCTCTGGATTTATTTCCCTTAAAGGTTGTAATATTTACTTTCTTCTGTTTCATCATATTCTATCAAAATATTGTGGATTACACTTGAGTGATGACTTTGATTTTACAAAACTCTGTTACAGTGTGAGATCAGGTGGATTTCACAACAGAAACCTGGGCCTGGATCAGAGTACACTTGACCTCAAAGTTCAGTTTTCTTGATTAGTGTGGTTGAAAAGGTCGTGTTGAGTATGGTTCATGTGTACTCAGGTACAGTATGCAACAGGTGTGAACACCAATTGTACCAAAAGATGATAGTGGATGCTATTCAGCGTGAGTACAAGGAGTTTTTAGCTGGTTTTGAAACATCTGTTGACAACTGATGCGTCTTGATCAGACAGCAGCACGTGGAAAGACCCAGACTGGGTTCCGCAGCTGCCTTTGACCTAGGCAGCTAGGAGCTCCTGTGGAAGACGGACAGCTCCGTGCCCAAAGCCTCCTATAGACTGAAATTTTTGCAATCATATCCACCTTATTCCTGAGGGCACTACTGTAGAAATGATTATGGGCGCAACTTACAGTGAGATAGCGCAAGTAGCAGTAAGCTAGTTTATCCATAGACTGGTTAGTCCCAGTAGCTACTCTTGGTGGCTGGTTCTTTTCGAAAGTAATTTGCCTTCAGTTTAGCAAATACAGATTTAGTTTTTCAACAAATATTTAACTAATGTTAACTTAGCATGTTCTAAAATGTCTTTGCGGAGCTCTGGTACCTGTTGCACTGTCCGTGTCTGTAACGACCAACAACCAGTTTAGCTCAATTTTATCTTCGACAACTGTGTGTTGAACATGTAACCAGAACAAAAACGGATTGTTCCTTTTGCCAAAGGTACCGTTGATATGAGAAATAAAACCACAAGAGTTTCACCAAACACAGCGAAAAAGTATTAAATCAGAATTTGCAGAAAAGAATGACCCCAAGACTGATAGGTCCGTCACTCAACGTCAGTACATGATATTCCTGTCTTTCCCCGTCTGACTTCATTCTCAACCTACATTAGAAAATTGCTTGTCATAAAATAAACTCAGCAACAAACCTTGAAATATGTATTTAGTCATGGGAAACATCACATTTATTCACTTTACATGGAGCTACAGCTAATTGCTAGTGTGCTTGGTTGAAAAGGAAAAAAACAGTGCTTTGAGATGGCTGTCAGAGATGGCAGAGGTATGATCACATAATCCCGTTTGAGCTATAACAGGTGGTGTGTTCCATGTTTTATTTCCCAGTTGCTCTTGGAAAGAGAGTACTGAGTACTGTAGACAAACTGTTACCATTGGAAGTCGCCGGTGTCAGTTTAACGCCGGAGGTTGCTCCCACAATTCATATAAGGTATCATGGGGGCTAGGAATAAGGTGGATACGTTTAGTGCAGCAACACTGTGCAACATTGATCCAATAAACTGGGGTACGACATCAAGTTTGATGTATGCAGACTGTATGAAAACAGCATCTACTGAATCACAGGCAATAGTTTCCCATACTGAGTGCACAAGGATGCTGCACAGGTTATTACTCTACAACTGTGAAGCTCAACATAGAGTCACATTGTTAAATATCCTAAAGTTTTGTGGGCACTATATACTGCAGTGTGTGTGTGTGTGTTTGATAGAATCTCTGATGTGACAATGCACCGCCACAGTTTCATCGCTTATAATAAGGCCATCTACTTTATTTGCATTAATCTTTCACACTAATCAGATTTAAGAGGAAATACTTGTGCACGTAACAGCATACACCCACGCACTATTGGGCTTATAACTGCAGCACAGTTCTCCACTAGTTCTCACTGGATGAAATTCAACAAAGGGATTTTAGTTGTTTTGTTTTTGTTTTTTGTTTTTTTTAGCCTTTGTGCCCTACTTCCCTCTTTCTCCATTTCCCCTCCATTTGACTATTTATTTTCGAGTTGATCCCGACCTCTCCCTGCAGGCCTCCCCTCCTCCGCCCACCACTGTGCACCTTCTGCCAGATCCAGCTTGCGTTCCTAATTGCTCCTATCCAGCCAACTCCCTTTAGCCCACCCCCCACCCTGTCAGTCTGCCAGGTGGCCGGCTGGCCAAATGGTGATGTTCAGATGCCGCACAATCTGCAATGCCGGCCTGTCTGCCTGCCTCACTGACCATTAGCAGTGGGCTAATGGGTCTTTGGGAGATATATTGTAACAAGCGCAGCATGAAGGGGTGGGATGAGGTGAAGCGGGGTGGTGTTAGCTGAGGATTTTCAGGCTCTGTTTGCCTTAAGTCAACTTTAGAAGCTCAGCCTGTGCTTGAATACATAACCTGGTCTCAAAGTTTTCCTAGAAAGTAAAGTATATATTGGACTGTGTTTGAAGGAGACCCATCAATTCTGACTTTTGATCAGTGGATCTACCTTCTGCATACAGTGTAATAAAGCACCCACCAAAGTTCACCCACCACCTGTCACTACTTCTGTAATATGACAGACTCTCTTGACTTTAGCATCTTTCTTGCAGACATATCGTCAGTTTAAGTCAGCGTTCGGAGCCGGACTGTGTCGAACAGCAAGCTGAACAGACTGAGGAAAGGAAGTTAGATTTATAATTGCTCTCTGATTTTTTGATTTTTGAGACTGGGAAATTAGCTTTAGAGACTGAAACCGTTTTTTGTGCCAGGCTGTAAACATGTTTATTTCTGCTGTAATGTTGGGCATTTTAACACTGGGGTCTATATTAGGTTCCTCCAACAAAACGCCAGTGGGATTTTCCCCGTCGGAAGAAAATAAGATCTTCGGCAAACAAACGTTATCTTACTTACACATTTTGTTCAGCGAGATAAACTTCACATATAAACTCCACTTGTAGGATTTTTGAAGCGTAAATGCAATTGCCAGAAGCAAAAAGCTAACGTTAGGCTATAACCGAACAACACCACATGAACACCTGTTTATAGATTTTAAGCAGCACTATAAAATACAGTCAGAAGAACATATGACTTCAACGCTGTCCCCTACAACAAGGCTGTAAAGCCATGTTTGGCGTGATGACTCTCTGTAGCCTATTTAGCCACCTGCTAGCAAATATTCTTTTTAAGACACATAAAAGCTTCAAAATTCATGAGTGGGACTGTTATGATAGCTTTATTGGTAGTGTAATGAATGTCTTGTGGGTGGTGGGAGGCAGGGTCAGCACTATTGTCACACTTGGGGGCTGGTGGTAATGACTCATTAGCTGCAATTAGCCACACCTGGAAGGAGAGCTGGAGAGGCCATTGAGCTGAGCGGACACGCCACAAGGGAGACACCGGCAAGACATTCTGGAGACAAAGGTTCTGAGATCTGTGTAAATGCACATTCACTCTGAACAACCACGAAGAAGAACAGTGTCCAGTGGAGTCATCCGGTCTGAGCGAGCTGGTCACGAGGAGCAAGAGCGATGGCCTGGCAGTGAGTCAACCCCCCCCCCAGATAGGGAAGGTCGCACTCACCCATGCAACACGTAGGGAGAGGCACCACGTTACGGGCACGCTAGCCTTAGTTGATGACGTTTTACGAGCCAGGTTAAGCAAAGCAACGTAACAGGGACATTTACTGATGTATTTGATGTCGCAGAACAAAACGTGAATGTCACCACAGGCCTTATTTTAGGGATCTCACCAAAAACCTATTAAAAAACACACTGACTTCAACACGAGGGAACAGGAAGTGCTAAAATGCAAACTTATTTCTGAGTTGTCTTGCTGCACTCTGTTGCAGGATAATAGCACAGTGAATTTTCCTTATGTTCTAAAGATTAGGATTATTGGATGCGACTTGCATTCGATGCAGGCAATGCAGCTAATAGCTAACTTTTAGCTAAGATGCTGGTCAAACCAAACCAAGTAGGGCCATAGCAGCAAAACCCTTGAGTGTATTGAACTGACTGTGTTTCATAGCTCATTAATTAATCTTTTCGTTTTAAGAGGAAAGTTGTGTTATCCTCAAATATCCAAGACATTACTAATTTTAAAGTGGATTTGGCGAACAAAGTGGACTTCCTCTAGTACCTCTTTGCTTCCTTGTTGTTTTCAGAGGATGTTTGTCTCTCTTCATCATCTTTGTGAAGAGCAGGAGCTTAAATGGATCAACCGTGGTCACGTCTATAATCAATTACAAACATCTGCATTGAGGAAGCTTTTCAGAAACATTAATTTTAAAAAAAAACATGTAACCATAGCAACCTCACACAGATGCTTTGTGCTATGTTAATGGGTTTTCTCATGACAAGTCTATGTTGAGTTAACATGCATCCCACTCCTCCATCACATACTCAATATACACTGCTCAAAAAAATAAAGGGAACACTAAAATAACACATCCCAGATCTGAATGAATGAAAAATTCTTATTAAATACTTTGTTCTTTACATAGTTGAATGTGCTGACAACAAAATCACACAAAAATTATCAATGGAAATCAAATTTATTAACCCATGGAGGTCTGGATTTGGAGTCACACTCAAAATTAAAGTGGAAAAACACACTACAGGCTGATCCAACTTTGATGTAATGTCCTTAAAACAAGTCAAAATGAGGCTCAGTAGTGTGTGTGGCCTCCACGTGCCTGTATGACCTCCATACAACGCCTGGGCATGCTCCTGATGAGGTGGCGGATGGTCTCCTGAGGGATCTCCTGCCAGACCTGGACTAAAGCATCTGCCAACTCCTGGACAGTCTGTGGTGCAACGTGGCGTTGGTGGATGGAGCAAGACATGATGTCCCAGATGTGCTCAATTGGATTCAGGTCTGGGGAACGGGCGGGCCAGTCCATAGCATCAATGCCTTCATCTTGCAGGAACTGCTGACACACTCCAGCCACATGAGGTCTAGCATTGTCTTGCATTAGGAGGAACCCAGGGCCAACCGCACCAGCATATGGTCTCACAATGGGTCTGAGGATCTCATCTCGGTACCTAATGCCAGTCAGGCTACCTCTGGCGAGCACATGGAGGGCTGTGCGGCGCCCCAA